AGAGAGAGAGAGAGAGAGAGAGAGAGAGAGAGAGAGAGAGAGAGAATGGCAGCAGGTGAAGGCTGATCAGTTTAAGAGGATCATGCTTGACTGATAGACACTTGTTCCCTAAACTGAGGGATATTTGAAATCCCACAGCAGCACTCTGAGTTTGGTTGCTTCAGAGAGAGAAACAGAGTTAAAACCAGATTAAAAGGCATGTAACATTACACATATCTGACTCTTTAATGCACAATGCACATCTTAACCACAGTCTTACTGATTCATGATTTTCAGACGGACACCAGTTCCATCCACACACCCAAATGTTTGTACAGAAGTTATGCCTGACACTGCTTCAGGGCCAGCCCATCACTGGAAATCAATAGGGAACTGAAGGAGTGCACAGCTGAATATCTATTTTGAGACGTGGGAGTGTGCATATGCACTTAATACATTGCAACAAGAGTAACGTAATACCGCTGTAAATCTACCAGTAAATCATGCACGCCCCAACGTGGAGACAGCGAAGGAGCAGAAACCACATGAGGGTTATTTCCCCTCTTCTCTGATGAGCCGGTGTTGACCTTGATGAAGTAACACAGGATGCAACTGTTCTGTGCCTGCATGGTAGAGCTGAGATGTAACGTAACTAAGTGGTGCTCATTAGTTGATTAACCATAAGTCAATTGACAAAAATGAAATCAACAATTTGATAACTGATTAATTGTTTAAGTAATTTATTGAGCAAATATCCTAGGAAGAAATTGCTGATCCAGGCTTCTCAGATGTGACAATATGGTGCTTCTCTAACTCTAAATTAACATATTTGAAAGTTGTTGTTTTTTTTATAGACTAAAATACAGATTAAACAACTGATGCAGTTAAACAGTTGTAGAGATGAGTAGTTCCAATTAGTACAGATTCTCCTAACACACTTCATGATCATCAAGTGCCGAAATATTGCAAACTGAGGCCTAAATTACCAAAACGTGTAGCTTCTCAGGGAGCTGTGTATCCACCAATCACACAATATTAATACATTAGAACATCTTACCTTTTCCCTCTTTCATTTCCAGTGATTATATCCTCAGTGGTGCAGATGTAATGAGCCAGGGCTTCTCCTGTAGTAAAAGCACAGAATAACATGACGTATAAGCAACAGGAGAATATCTGCACTAACCACTTGTTATTCTTTGTTTTCAACTTGTCTTTGCACTTGATTAGGAAACTAAAATAGCATTGGACCTGTGAACTGAAAATAACTCCTGAACTCCTACCATGCAAAATATTTTTGCATGGCAGAGATGTTTTTATGTGGTGACTATGGTTGTTAAATAATATATGCTGAAACACGGAAATGTGGATATGAACTGATCTTCTTTTTGTCTTCATTTTACAAATGATTATTATTTATTAAAAGATATTAAACGATAAAAATTTAGATCATTTGTGAACACAATGGGTGGATTTGCTGAGATATGGACAGTTAGTCGGATAAAAGAAGTAATGTAAATATGCAAGCTTGGGCCTTTTATTGTGATTTTCTGACAATTTATAGACACATGACAAAATCAACTGACACATTAATCACTACGGTAAAATAATTTGTTGCAGCGCTGTATAACATACTACTTATCACCTCTAGCGTCCACACCCCCACCATCTTGAACATGAGGGATTTACAACAACTGGGCACACTCTGTAGCTCACAGGATTGTTAAACACAGGAGGCACAGGACCTCCTCACAGACACCACAGGCAACATAATAGCAGCATAATACCTGACTGTTTGTGATACAGTGTGTGGGGGGGGCATGAAAGGGGGAGGGAGGGCTGGCTGGGAGAGCAGAGGGGGGTCGAGCGCTGCGCTGTGCGATGCCTTGTGGCACACCAAGCGTCTGGCTGACGCTGGCAAAAGTCCTTCAGATGTGAAAGGGAACAAACAGAGTGAGATTCAGTCCTGTCAGAAATGCCCTTCACCACAGACGTACTTAAAGCAATGCTGCTTTGGGTCGCCAAAGTATTGCAGGCAGGCCACTGAAAGAGCTTAGTCACACACTGTAGTGATTAAAGACGAGTCAGGCAGTGCTGAGGAAGTAATTCCCGCAAAGGCACTGCATGGGAAAATGTTGTCAGGGATTTATTGGTTCCTTCCTCCCAAATTCTGAAGGGCTGACATGGCTAAGACTATACGTGTACTTAGCATTAGCAGAAACACGTGCTAATGTTGTCATTAATCAAGCTAATTATTACAGATTAACATGTATGTGGTATTAACATGAGCTCTGTATTTTTGTGTTTTGCTAGCTTTGAATAGAGAATCGTGACTACATTCACATGAATCAATATCACCAATTAAAGGGCACCGGACCTGGGAGGACAGGGCCTTCTCCTTTGCTGCCCCCTCCCTCTGGAACTCTCTCCCCCAGCACCTCACACACTGTCCGTCACTCGCCACTTTCACAACTGCACTCAAAACTCACCTGTTTTTAACCTATGATGCAAGTATTGTATGTTTGTTTTTTTTACTGTTATAATGGCACTTATCTGCTTTGTTTGTATTGTTACTGCTTTTATTGTTTCTGTTGTTAACATGTAGAGGCTTTGAGTAGCTTTTAAAGCGCTATACAAACAAAGAATAGGAGGCTAACAGATTTACAGTGAGATTCAATGGGTCGATGCAAATTCGTCTTGCCCACATCTCAGGAAATCAATCTGGTCTCCATTAATCCAATGGAAGAGAAGATTTACATTGCGTTGTATTTTGACAGCAGCTGATCATTTCCAGTTGGTCGTCGCGGACTGTTCCCACGCTGACATATTGAACCAAGGTTACGTATCCTTGAGCTGAAGGACGAAGGCATCTCATCCGGGAAAAAGCTGATGGCTGTGTACTGCACTGTGATAAGACATAGAACAACTTTCTCTGCATGCAAGTCAGAGACTAAACAGACTAAAAGGATGTTCGATGTCGTGGGAGCCCTGACAACGAGCCTGTGTTTTTTTAGTGACCTTGGGATGGGGAGCAGTGTTTGGGACATCTAATCTGGATGTAGGGCAGTAACAGTTCCAAAACACGAGAAGTGAAAGTGAACAAACTAATACTAAAACGAATTACCTTGTACACTATAAATTGCATTTATCCTGTTAATTCTATTTATTATCTTACACTGATGGACTATTATGTATTGTGTTGTTTTATGTAGTGTATTTATTGTCATGTAGTATTTTTGACTACCTGCCCACAGATGACAGATACTAATTAGCTTCTAGCTGACTCTAGTGCAATTAGTTTTACATTGTGTGCCATCTCTGGACAAATAAAATAATAAAATAAAAAATAAATAATAAATGACGTATCCACCTTTAAATAGCAATGCCTTTATTCCCTTATCATTGACATTTCCATTCAACTAATGCTTTAAAGCAGAGGTTAGCAGTAGATGAGTCTTCTGATTAGAATAGCCATTCTTTCTCATCTATTTAAGGCCGGATTAACCCATTTGCCTTAAGGAAAAAAAGAAACGTTGGCCCTATGAACATCCCCCATCACCCACTCTTTACACATTGTGTCTCCTGTGCCCTTCAAGTAAACAAATCAACAAATGTATGTATCACATTACTTAACTTAAATAATAAAGACTCAAGATTAGGTGATAATGCAGAATCAGGTCAAAAGCCCCCTCGTTATTGTGTGTGTTCATTCACAAATTTGAAATGAGGCTGGTAATCCCACTTTACATATATTCTGTGCTCTTAATCAGCTAAATCTGACTTAACTCAATACTGACTATAAGCATTCAGAGAGCACAGACAAGACACAGCCGAGGCTGTTCTCATAGGTGAAAAATAATGCGTCTATCCGCTCCAGGTGATTCGGATCCACTCCAAAATGTAGTGGGTTCTTCCTTGGCCCAAGCTCCACCCTGCAAGTTTCATGACGATGGCACTAAGATGTGTTTTATTTTGATGCATCCATGACACCCCCCCAATCAAGGACTCGTGGAGGCCTGTGAGCCCTCACTGCAGTGACCGGTGCACCAGAGTATGATTACATTTGACTGAGATGAATGTGTTGAGGGCATGTGTGTTCATTAGAGTCATTACTGCAGTAAGGCATATCATGGTGTTTCTGCTGATTTGTAGCAAATTGCCTGCATGTGCTACATATCTCAAAGTCCCATTAAATGCAACATCTGTGCAAACAAATGTAGCCGCTGCTACAGTGACTAAATACAACAGCCTGAAAATAGAGCAATAATCTAAATTCTATCTAAAACCATCCCAAGTTTGCACTCATATTAAAATGAGTGCATCCTTTTATCTCTTTTTTATTTTTGCACAGCACAAAGATATTGCAGCTGACGTTCAGCAATTCAGAGGCTGAGCAGAGTAAAGAGGAGAGGAGGAAGAAAGGATCGACTTCACAATAAAAGTTTGTGAAATCACATAAGGTGTTCACATATATAATTATTTCTATTCATATATTTACTTTATAGTAAATATGTTGATGTTTTTGATATGATTTATAATTGATCCTATTGTCATTTACTTTTTGAAACAGGAAAGCTTTTTTTTTTTTTTTTATTAAAGCAGGACATTCTGCACCCTACGCCGTGATGTCAGACCTCATGCCTGCCATAAACAAGTTCAATCAAGATTCACTTTCCACTCCGCAATTTTGGCAAATTGTGTTTTGCAGTGTGATATGCATCGTCCTCATCCAGCAGTCAAGATCAGTGGCACAGGGCCAGACAGGAACAAGGATCTTATCACATAAGAGGACTTGACTGAAAGGCTGAATCCCAGTATAAAGCAACCAGGCTGATAAGTACTTCATATTATCTTTGTAATGCAGTTATTCTGCAGGCTAAGAGCTCTTAAATGAACTCTTGTTTTTCAGTTATACCACCACATTGTTACATCACTGACATAAGGTTGACATAGTTTCCAAGTTGTCAGTTATTGTTCCTGTTGCTGCTCAATAAATGAAAGTGGTTCTTTTTTTAAAACACTGCGGAAACTATGCAAGCGTTTAAATGCATTTGCCTCAAATCAATGTGTAAAGAGGGCAGGTGTGTATTCGACTAAAGGCAGACTGCTACCGACGGACTGAGTGTTTCCCAGCAGAGTCACTGAGGACATGGTCTGTCAGCCAGTTTCCAAGTCGACATGATGTGTACTAATACTACAAAGCACCATTACATGCAACATCATACTTACAAATAAATAAAATACGAAAAAAAAATGAAAAGTAAAAGATTGGAAACAATATAAACACATGTACTTCTCAGTCAAATTCAGTAGGCGGGTGTAAAAACACATGTGGGTTTTACAACAATAAGCAACACACAGGACTTTTGCATCAAAAACAATTCATATTTCTTTATGACTCTGTTACCATGTTATTAATGCAAAAATGCCAACAATATTTCGAATAGTGTCACAATATATCCGTATCCTAGCCTAATTATTAGAAAGAGAGCAGGGAAATAAAAACCAGGAGGCTCACGGTTTAAACTGTATGTTCAAGTCAGATCCAATGCGACTGATCACAGGGATCATGATAACATGTGGTTGAATATATGCAGGAACATATGGCACTATCCCTCCCGAACATGATGCAGCCAAATCCTTTCCAGTCTAGCCTACAGTTTTTAAATCTCTCCATCCAACCGCACAAAAGAGAAACAAATGACACACATTTACACATCACAGCTCGAGACAGCCAAATTCAATTTGATATATTGTGATCCAATGACGCCAGTTAGAGGAGATCAGTGGTGCTAAATGCCTCCAGCATGTAAAAAAAAATGAAGAAAGAAAAAAACTCCAAACACACAGAGGCTTTACCTATACGTTAGCTCGAGAGGGTCTTACTTACCAGCAATGAGAGCTTTAACCAGATGAGCTTTAATCCGCGGAGCGAGCCTGTTGTAACGGTACAATGATGTTGCAACCAAGTTCACGTTGCTTTTGGTGTCACGCACTGCCTGGGGTAAACGACTGCCTTTGGCACGCGCACACTCCGGGTAGAAGCACTGATGTGAATGCGAGCATCAAAGTTCATATCTCCGAACAAGCACTAACAAGAAGCGTGCACGCAAAACCCACAGGCTGGTGTTCAGTTGGAAGGTTGCGCAGGCAGTTATAGCTTTTACTGGAACGCTCTCCCCGTTACGTTACAGCGCGTTCCCTTCTCTCTTGCTCAACGCAGCGACGCATGCGCATGTGGGCACGCGCGCCGGAGAGAACAGATCCAAATGCCTTTAAAACATGAACAAGCCGAGACCTGACGACGCTGGCGTTGAACTTGAAGCGCACAGGTCATCGAAGCGTTCCATGTGATCTCCAGGTTATTGCGATTAGTTGCCACATGCCTCCTCAATCCGCTTCAGGCTGGGCTTTTATCCCAGAGGGCACAACATCTGGAAAGACTTTGCTGCTGGCTGTGGTTTTTTTTTTTTTTTTTAAACCCCTCAATGTAACAGATAATAGCTTGAAACACAGAGACAAGCTGTGGTGGAAGAAGTAGGTTACTCACCTCAGTTACAAGTGAGAGTCCTGCTTTCAAAATGTTGCTGCAGTAAAAGTACATAATAGCATCCAAATATACTATGACTATTCCACGAACTGCCATGAGACTGTGTTTAAAGAATAATGCATATTGTGTTATGGTATTATAATTAATGATGCATTAACAGGGAAGCAGCAGTGTGACGTGAGCTTCGTCTACAACGATTGATCCAGGCAGATCCAGACACATACCAAATACCATGGCTGCATAAATGTAGGCTGCCTGTGGGGCTGAAACTGAAGTGCAAAGGTTAATGAACATTTCCATGTTAGTGGACTTCTGCTAATTATGATGATTTGCTCAATCTCTCCTCAATGGGACTGTATATTTCTCCCAGAGGCACCAACATCTGGAGAGGCTTGTTGGTGTTGGCTGTGATATTGTAAATCTCTGTTTGTAAAGGACATAACACACTGAAACTCAGGGACAACTTGAGCGAGCATCTCATAGATTATACATTAAATCCAATGTATTTACCTTATCCATGCATCCTTTTGTCTGTATAATTTAATTTGAAAGACTTTAAACGTTTGATGAATAAGTATGTTTCCTTTCAGGTACTTAGGACTATTCCTTTTCTTTACAAACTGATGATGTTCTATTTTAGAACATGAATCTTTAATTAGATTGTTAATAACCACTGTCTCCTCTAATGTATCTGCTGGCAACAAAATTGTTTTGCACAAAAGTAAACTTAAAGATTACAGGAAGCAAATGTTTGCTGGCTCCAGACCATGAGACAATGTCAGGGTTCCCTTTAACTAGTCTGAAACAGCTTACGTGCATCTCTCCTTTACAAGCCCACATATTTTCACTGCAGCATTACATTTGCATCAAGTTGTGGGGTCCATAAATCACATCTGACTCAGCATACAATGGGTGCTGTTCATCCTGTCTGCTCCAAATGCAGAAAATAGTAAAGGAAAACTTGTCACGCAGACATGCCAGATGGACTTTTTTGTTTTACAGATGACGTGGTTTTGTCTGCTTGGTGTAAGTTTTTCATTTTCACATAATTTTCCAAAAAAATCCTGAGCAGGTCTTCAGCACAATACATGAAGACCTCTGGGTCTTGTACTTCAAATATAACTCTCTGTGTCCTTTACTTGTAACACAATAGAAGAAGTTTTTGCGGGATTGTTTTATGAAGTATTTTTGTTTCGTGGGAAAGTAGGTGTTAAACAATATATCACCTGACTGTATCTGCCAAATGGTGCTGCTGTGACAGAAAACATCGTTTAAACCCCATCTTACACTTTGTGTGTAAAACCATTGTGCTGTTGCATTTGACTTGCAGAATCCTTGTGTCTCATTGCACTGTATATACGGCCAACATTCACTAGAAACCTAATAGAACGTTTGGATCTCCTGCTCTCCTTTGATTAACCCAGCTGGGGTTTTGATGTAGCACGGCAAGCTGAATTTCCTCACCACAGATAGAAACTTCCAGGTCCAGTACCGCCGCGCCCAACGGAGACCACCATGGTGACTAACAGCTGAGTGCTCTCCCATACTGTTGGTGGTCGAAAGCACATCAGCTTGCCATCCTGTGGCGGAACTCTCTTCTCTCTTTCACTTCTTGCTTAATGCTGAAAGTGCAGATGCTGACACATAGCATGCTTCAGCAGCTTTAGTCTTAGTCCTGAGATCAAAATTTTTAACACTGTCAGGGTGTGGGGGAAAACTGGTGGTAGGGGATGGACCCAAACGCAGAGAGACGGATAACTGATGCCGATTTAATAGGCAAACAAAAAATGTCCAAACCATAAATAATCACAGCAGGGCAGAACAGAGCAGAGCAAAGCAGAGCAGGTAACACAACAGACAAACAGACACTGAGACAGGGGACACACAGGGTTTAAATACACTGGGGAGGTGCAGGTGATTGGGGATTCAATCAGGGGAAAGGCCGCCATACACCGGTGGAAAAACATATGAAGGCAGGAAGTGAAGAGAACACAGGACACAAGGGGCAGGGAAATTCTAAATAATACAGAGAAAACAACTAAACAAAACCCAAGACCGTGACGAACACGTTAAATGGCATTTGTTAAATCCGCACAAAAAGTGAAGGTTAAAAATTACAATTTGACATTTAGCATGAGCCAAACCACTGACGTGTCTCTCCATTTTTGTATTATTCTTCCCAGCTATTTTTCAGCTACAGGGTTCCTCTCCCAACAATGACTACAGCCCTCACCATGTGTCATCCGGAAAGGAAGTTGTTATGACAACAACATTTAAAAAAAGCTTCATAGAACATCTGTGCCTTTCAGAGATTAAATTAAATTTTTATGTTACAATGTTGGCTTGCCACAAAAGAGGTGATTAGCAAGGCTCTTTTATTGTGGTGCTAAATGTCTGTCGTTGTTGTGGGAGGTAGGGATGTGGGAGGATAATACAGCATTAATGAAAAATCTGAAACGGAACAAGAAGCACTTCTTGGAAGCAGATGGTGTCTCCTGTAAAACAGAAAAAAGCCTTGCCTGCGTTAAAAACAACAATGATCAATAATCACAAATGTCATGCTCCAGTTGACGCATTGAATAACTGATATTCTACATCCAATGGTCCAAATACCAACCAAATGAAGCAATTCCAATGCGCTTGACTGACAAGAGAAGGTGCTGCCAAGGACATTTAATCTATCAGAGAGATGAAAGTGTGTTGTGTGTGTGTGTGTGTGTGTGTGTGTGTGTGTGTGTGTGTGTGTGTGTGTGTGGATGGAGGAAAGAAGGGCTGTTCCTTCCAGATCTTCAACATGTCCAGACTTTGTTCCAACTAGCTGAGCTACAAGTTAGGCATATTATGACTCTGATCCATACAAAGAGATGGTTCTCAGACAGTAGAAGGAAACATGACGTTGTAACGTTTCTCAGGAACACTTCCTCTGTAATAACTTGAGGTCGCAGTTCTGCGAAAATGTTATCCCACTATCAGTTAGCTATGGGTGTGTCCTTCCCTTTTACTCTCGCTCTCTCTTTCACACATACAAGAGCCACAGTGTTACTGTGATCGCTGTTGTTTAGTGGTGAAAGCTTGCAAATACCAGAGAGAGAGATCACACCTTCAACACTGGAATCTCCTCACTTGAACTCCCGATTGCATAGAAGTGGAAAATGCACCCCCTAGTGGTAAACTACATGCATCACAATATTATGATCCTTTAACAGCAATCTGTCCATTTGTTAACTGTATTAAAAGGAGGATCACATGCATTTGAGGCGTTTTAGTGCCTTTTATTGTCAACTTAAATTATGGGTTGTAATTGACCTGAATTATGTGTAAAAAGCTGAGTATATGAAGAAATGCTCACAACATGTTCCCATAAACGTCAGCTGTTTAGTTGGGTGCAGCACACACTGTATTTCTCTAGCTCTGATGCAGGATCTAAACCACAGTGGTGTTTGGATTCAACTGTTTCCTGTTTACTGTATAAACATCCGTACTACACACTCGCACACACACGCACGATGTTGGTCACCTACAGAAAAAGAGGAAAAGCCGTAGCGTAACATTTCTTTAAAACTCAGCATCTTTAAATACAGGTGATGATGATCATCATAAACACCATTGAAGCTTTTGTGTCTCTTCTCTATTTCTTCCAGTGGAAGTGTCAGTGGGGTCATACTTGGACACCAGCTTGTCTTTTTTGTGAGCTGCCTTCTCAATTTAGTCCATTGCAAGAGTCATCCATGTTGTCCATCAAGTGTCTTCTCCTTTTTAGGCAGGTCTTCCAGATCTGCAAAAGACAACAAGAAGAGATTATTAAGGACTGCTTGACCTCCAAACTGTGGAATCATTTGCAGGTAGATTTGCAGCTAATTTGACATATTTAGGAAAGGAAAAAATTGATTTCAACAGATATCATTTGAAACTTGGGGCTGAGACCAGGTTCAATATATGTTTATTAAATTGGCCAAAAGAACAAGCATGTTTCCATTACTCACACTTGAGCACAGTCATGTTGACCTGAGTATAACCCCTGTCAGGGTTCTTGCCCAGGTCAGTGTAGAAGTAGAACCTCAGTTCCTGAGGATATTGAGAGTGGGACAGGTTCTGAACCAGGGGGATAATCCGATTGGACATAGGCGCCTCTGCCAGAACCTGGTGCATCATGTACTTGCACCAATCATCCTGCAGGAAGTCAGGCGTGATAAGCAGAGCCCTTATGTGGCTGTCCTTCACAGCCTGGCATAACTCTGTGGAAATTGCACCTCCTGGACAGGCGTCCCTCTGCATTAGAAAGCACCTCAGGCTCCGGGGTGATGACTCCAGATAAGAGACCAGGCGAACAGCCTCTTCAATGTCACTGTGCACGGAGCTGTGGCACACGAACACGTCGTACTTTCGGCTCCATCGCTGCAGCAAGCTCAGAGCAGAGTGAGGCTGTGGTTGTTTGGAAGATGATGATGACGAAGAAGAGCTTGACAATGTAGATGGGGGGGGAGGTGATGTGCTGCGGACAGAAGACATTGACTTTTCTGTCATCATTGCCTCCTGTTCACGTTGTGCTGATGAAGATATTCTTGATTTCCAGAGTTTCTGGATCCAACCTGAAGGGAGAAAGACAAAGTGTGGATATTTTAGACTTGATTCTAGCCCACATGTTGATATATATAGAGTAGACCCATAGTCCATTTATAAATCCTCAAGGCTATGGTAGCGTGCGCAATAATACATATAGCACAGTGTGCATTAGCATTCAAATGGATAAAGTTACGGTTTCAGAAATGATCTTACCATGCATGTTGTAAACATCAGTCATCATGTCTGATCAACGTCTCCAAAATCCTTTCTGTAAAAAGCAATGATTAATAATCTCATCGCTTAAAAGGATCTTCTCTGGCCATACACAGAAACAGTAGCTGAACAAAAAAACTGTTGCAACAGTGTGACACAATCCAATGACAGTAACAGAATGCAACAAAGAAGTGGCGCTGACATCATCACAAAAAAAAGAGGAAGTTGGTAACTGCCGAAAGAGACGCCGCAACATCTTTAGTCACATTTAAAATGCAAAGTGTCTCAAATTTTATGCTTCACTGAGCAGGTAGCTAACCATTTGTTAAAAGCACGTTTATGGTCAAAAGACTCATTTAGTACACTTGATTTTCAACAAAAAGAACATTTCATGTAGGCAGGAATGAGACTACTCTCTCATCTGGATGCTTGTGTTATTTTAAGAAGTAATAAGAGGAAGGACAGCATGAGCTATTAAAATCCACAACCACCAACATGTTAATGTCAAATCCCTAAGGCATTCAATGAGACCTGATACTCTTACAGATATTGTGTCAGTTTCACAAGTCATTTAAGTATTGTATGTATTATATGTGTGTGTATTATAGAACTTCCCATTATCTTGAACTGGTTATTCATTTCAGTTGTGTAGAAATAGATACAATTTATGTCATACAAACATAAAGTAAGACATTTGAAAGTACCTTCATTTTCCTTCAAGATCAATAAAATAAATAAGGAACAAAATGGTCCTGTTTACAAAGATATGCCTTTGACTACAACTGGGAAGGGAATAATTGAGCGGTAACCAAATGTGGTTACCGCTCGTGGTGGAGGAGTTATCAGATCTTGTACTTTAGTGGAAGTAGCAATTTAACACCATTAGAATAGTCCATTAAAAGTAGAAGTGATGTTCAAAGTGCTGTTGTAGTTGTAGAAAGTGTGTAAGTGACATTAGCAAAATGTACTATAGGTTATTATTATCAAAAATACAAGTAATGCAGAAAAATAGCTATGCATCAGATGTTATAAATTGATCACATTTTGATCATGGTTAATCCTAATTTATATAATAACTACTTGCCTCAGTTGTCTGATAAATGTCGTGGCCAAAAAAATACATTTCCCTCTGAAATATATAATTTACTGTAGAAGAAGTGTAAAAAAGTAGCAGAAAATGGAAATACCAGCGCAAAATTAAAAGTAATCAAAGCTGTACTTTAAGTACTTCAGTAATTGTACTTTTTTTACATTTACTTAGTACACTGGTTCAATCCAAATAATATAATTAAAGAGGAATAAGTCCACATATCAGACACCTGGAAGCAAAGTTCCAAAAAAGTATAAATCTTATAAGAGCTGTTGCAGCATGCTACTGGGGGGGGGGGGCAGATAAACAGTCACTAATGAACATATAAACTGCACTCGTGAGATCAGCATTTGATTATGGCTGCATTGTGAATGGAGCAGCAGCACAGACACCATTACATCAAATGGACAGACTGCAGTAAAGATCATTAAGATTTTGCATTGGGGTCATTAAGTCAACTCCCACTGACTCTGTTCTGTTTGAAACAGTAGAGACACTGCTAGAGTTCAGGAGAGAAAAGCTTTCACTTGTTTACTGGAAGAGTACCACAGAGGTGGTGTAGAAGTCCAGTTCTGCTGGGTGCCCGCACAGGGTTAGGGTTGGAGTTAAAGATACATGTTTAACATATTTAGTTGCACTACAACTTGTATGAGGTAGAAAGACAAACATTGCATGATACAATCAGAGAGGCTGGACAGGAATGGGGTTATGGGAAACAGAAGGATTAGGAGGCCCCAGGATGGCCCTTTTTCCTTACAACACAACAAACAACGGTGTGATGTTACGCCACTCCTGTATAGTAGGCGGTGAAAGGCACTTCAAACTGTCTGCGATGCGCTATCTATTTTAAGAGAAGAAGAAGAGGAGCGTCACTTCCGGGTTTCGCATCTGACGTGTCTAAAACAGTTTAGCTCTGGTGGCGGATTTCTTTTACCCGTGGGGGATTTAACATCGATTCGACTAATATTTGGTAAGATGTAATTGTTTGAAGAGCATGTACTACACCTTTAAACGTTCACACACCCATTCGTTCATCGCAGGGCTTCTGTCTCATCTTTTTTGTGTGTTTCTTTACTCTAGATACGTGGTGTCAAGATGCTAGATTTCTTCACCATATTCAGCAAAGGGGGGATAGTGTTGTGGTGCTTTCATGGAGCCGGGGTCAGTGAATCCTTCGCCGGGCCTGTCAACGCTCTGATCCGCTCCGTAATCCTTCAGGTGGGACGTGGTGACAGGTCAAAAAAAAGCCTGTGACATATGTCTGTTTCACTAATTCTCGCTGTGGCTTGGACTAGCTAATGCTAATGCTAATGCTAGTAGGTAACCGTTAGCAAACGTTAGCTCATTGCGTAACGGTAGTGTACTCGTGACTTTTGCGATGTGAATAGCGTAAGAATCACCTTGTTAAAATGTAGATATAGTTGTTGCTACAGTGACTTCTTTCACATTGTTAAGAAGACACGTTAGGCTAGCTTAGCTGTTAGCAGCAACGCCATGTGTGGGTAGTTGGCTCCTGTTGACATGTCAACGATGTTTGCGGTGTTACAGGAGCGAAGTGGGAACAATTCATACACTCACGAGGCCCTGAGTCTGAAATACAAGCTCGACAATGAGTTTGAGTTGATTTTTGTGGTAAGTCTCCGATTACAATCCAAGATAATAGAGTTGTGCACATCTGCAACTAATGTTCTAACTAATGCTTTAAAGGTTGAGGATCATGTTCTCTTGTCTCTGTCCAGGTGGGTTTTCAAAAGATCCTGACGCTGACGTATGTGGACAAGTTCATAGATGATGTTCAGCTCCATTTTAGGGATCGGTATAAGAACGAGCTGGAGCAAAAGGGGGCTTTGAAGCTAATCAATAACAGCTTTGAGTTTGGGGATGACTTCAAGGTGCTTCTCAGGTAAACACACAGGGTTTCACTCATGGACGCGATTCCCTGTAATGAAGAACTTTAACTCAAGTGATCATTATAAATACATAATCACTTCATCAGAATTTAAAGATTCTTCATTGACCAGAATATTTTGTGTCCTGCCCATTCTGACATGCATCAACTGTTTACATGAAGGGAGGCGGAGGAGAGCAGCAGAGCTCGGGGTCCGACTGCCATGCGGACCTTTAAGGAGTCCGAGAAATCCCAAAAAACTGTGAAGTCTATGATTGAGATCAAGGGTGGGGAAAAAGTCAAGGAACCGGGTGGCAAGAAGAATAAAAACACCAAAAAGGAGGGTAGGTGCCGTTGTGTGAGAGGTTCTTCTAAAATATCTAAATGGCCAGTCATTTAGCCTCAATCCGGACTTAATTTTGATATTCCAATCTTTTCCAGCTCCTGCAGCTGAGCCTGTCAAAGTGGATCAAGGCAAGGCCGCGTCGTCTGAGAATGGTAACCAGGGCTTTACTCCCGAGGAGATCATACAGAAGAAGCGAGAGGAATTCTTTCGCAAGCGCACGGTGGTACCCACTGAGAAAGCCACGTAAGAGAAAATCCAAGAATTCAATTCATGAATGAATTGTACAGGTACATTTTTGATGAACTTATCTGACTCCCCAGCGGCAGCGTTGAATGGGCCGGTCCTCGAAAGATACCATCAACGTGTCAGTTGCCCAGTGTAAAAGCATGTCTGATTGTTTAATTCTGCTCTTCTGTCATCCTAGTTGCAGTAAGTCCCCAAAACCTCAGAAGCCCAAGGAGAAGCAAAGGCGTGTTTGGGACATGGGTGGCAGCAGCACCAAGGAGCTGGACTACAGCGGAAGGAATGGAGATGATTCCCTAAATGGTAGCAAACAGAACCAGGATGCACACATTGACCTGGTGAGTACCCCCCCTCCACCCCGAAGAGGTTTCTAGGTAAAAATACACGAGTATTAGGTACACTAATAATGTTCAAATACATTCCAAGTCCTCAATGTCCTGGTTGTGTTTCAGGGGATGCTAAACTCCATGAAGGGTGACCTGCTGTCTGTGGACTATGAGTCCAGTGAGGACGAGGAGATGGAGGAGGAGGAGGAAGAGGAGAGAGTGGTTGTCAGTGAAACAAGCAAGACAAGGTAAGAGAGTATTTGAATGTTACACTCTCGTTTCAGGGTATTTGTTATACATTTATACACATTTTTCAAAAACCTGATTTGATTTGCACAGCTTTGTTCATTGATTTCAGCTCCAAAAAGAGTGGCGGTTTTGGGGGCATGTTTGGGATGCTGAAGGGCCTGGTGGGCTCCAAGAGCCTGAGCCGTGAGGACATGGAGTCAGTGCTGGAGAAGATGAAGGACCACCTGATCAGTACGATGGCACAGCTCACTCTCGCTCTCTTGATTCTCTGCAATGCGCCGTCTTGCTATTCATTCTTCCGCTTTATTATCCCACAGCAAAGAATGTAGCAGCCGAAATCGCCTACCAGCTCTGTGACTCTGTAGCCAAGAAACTGGAGGGCAAAGTCATGGGCACATTCACCAGTAAGTACACGCACTCACAATCCTCGCCCGCCGTCTTAAATATGTTTTTCATTAGTTACAATGCAAGGTGCATCTTCTCTGCCTTCACTTGTTCTACTAGTCCACATGCTGGGAAAAGTAATGTGATTACAGTAATGACATAGTCCGTGATTATCGAAGTAAATTGATTAAGTTTCATCGACACAGGATGCAATTTGAAATGTTGCTCAGTTCCAGAATTTTGTACAAAAGGTGTTGAAAGACCAAGTGCATATTTTACATTGTAGATTATTCATTAAACAGCAAATCAAGAAGGGCCTTAAAAGTGTACTTTCATTATCATATTGATACTATTTATGTATTTACCCTTTCTGGTGCTCTCACCCACGTCCAAAAGCACAATATAGTAACTATAATGATGTCAATGTAACTATATGAGATCATTTGTGTCAGTGAATAGCAGTATGAATGCATGATTCAGGGAGAACCTAACATATATGTGTGTGTGTAGCTGTGGCCTCAACAGTAAAGCTGGCCCTGCAGGACTCACTGGTGCAGATCCTGCAGCCCAAGCGAAGGGTGGACATTCTGAGAGACGTCATGGAGTCCCAGAACCAGCGGCGGCCTTTCGTCATCACTTTTTGCGGCGTCAACGGGGTCGGAAAGTCCACCAACCTGGCCAAGGTGAGTCGTCGTCGAAAGAGTGATGACATGTGCTCTACATAAATTTCCTGTACTTCCCCCTCTGTTTGTGGTTCGCTCACCATTTCCGTTTGTTTGTCCTTGTTTTGTGAGAGTTTGTGGTCGTGTATAGCTCCATTAGTAGAACATTCACAGAGATTCAGTGGTTTTAAAATACCTGCACTGTACTTCAATCAATATTGAAATGATTTCAGCACTATGTTGGGGATGATACTATTATTTTGTGATATGGTGTATATATATATATATATATTTGCCACACTATCCGCCCATCAGCATGTCCTGATTGTGTCTGTCCCCAGATCTCTTTCTGGCTGATAGAGAATGGTTTCTCTGTGCTGATCGCGGCCTGTGACACGTTCCGTGCCGGAGCCGTGGAGCAGCTCCGCACTCACCAGCGCCGCCTGAACTCTCTGCATCCCCCCGAGCACCACGGAGGACGCCCAGTGGTCCAGCTCTATGAGAAGGGCTACGGGAAGGATGCTGCTGGAATTGCCATGGAGGCCATTGCCTACGGTACAATACTTCCTTTCCTGTTGAGTAGTTATTATGTGTTTTTAAAGCTGTGGTTCTTTCCATTAATGATTAATATCATCCGCACAGCCCGCAACCAGGCCTTCGACGTGGTGCTGGTGGACACCGCTGGGCGTATGCAGGACAACGCTCCCCTTATGACGGCCCTGGCCAAACTCATAGCGGTCAACATGCCTGACCTGGTGCTGTTTGTTGGAGAGGCTCTGGTGGGCAATGAGGCAGTAGACCAGCTGGTAAGACCGATCGCAAATTCACACTTTTTGTTGTTCAAACACACGATGTACTGATGACTGACACTGAGGAGGACGTCAGTGGCATTGTAACCCACAGTATACATAATGATGTGATCGCCTGCTAGAACATATTCAAAAATAAAAAGCTGTAGGATAAAATGGATTTCTATTGTTCTTAAACTCTCCAGCAGAGGTCAGCGTTCTGCTACCGTGTTTAAGTCATTGTGGACAGGTTTTCTCCTCCTCTGCACTCAGTGAGATGGAAAGAGAGTGCCATGCATATTAACCTGAGGGTCATCAGTTTTCCCATGAATGACTCAGCTTTTATTTCCTCGTCTCCTCAGGTAAAGTTCAATCAGGCTCTGGCAGACCACTCCATGTCCGACAAGCCCCGCCTCATCGATGGAATCGTTCTCACCAAGTTCGACACCATCGACGACAAGGTATCCTTACGTATATTCCTATCCAGCCTAAACAATGCGATGTGGTTCCGCTAAAGCAACTTTTGATGACTTGTGAATATTTTGCTGTAAAGTCGGTAGCACTCACGCGTCCTCCGTCCTCCTCCACAGGTCGGTGCTGCCATCTCCATGACGTACATCACTGGACAGCCCATCGTGTTTGTGGGCACAGGGCAGACCTACAACGACCTGCGCAGCCTCAATGCCCGCGCTGTGGTCAGTGCCCTGATGAAGGCTTAAGTGACTGCATGTTCTGCTGTTTTTATCCATCGCCGCAAAAACAAAAGCCAACGATACCTTTTTGCCACGCCGCTGAGATGTTCCAGCCCTGCTAAACCTGCCATCCTCCTGTCCTGCCCCTCTCTACTTTGCATCAAATGAAGAGATCATGTCACGCACAGGACTTTATTTTCCCAGTAAAGGACAAGTGTGCACTTAGAAAGACGGAACATTTTGCAAAAAAAAAAAAAAAAAAGCCAGAGGGGCCTCCTCCCCTCGAATCATTTCTAAATGTCTAGGCCTGCATTGACGTCACATCCAAATTACATTTTGGCTGACTAAATGCACCTAGGCTGTAAATGTCACCAGTTTACTGGTGTACACAGTAAAGACAAAAAACAAAACTCCCGACCTGGCGTTTTGTCAGTTCCCCCCCCCCCCCCCCCCTTCATGTAAATGGTCGAGTCGTAACGACTTGCTGGATGCACCTGAGGAGAGCTTAGTGACCATAGTGCCTATCTGTCTCCTGTCTTCTTAGTTATCACTTTCACTACATGGGTAGTTGTCCATCAAGAGTACCATGCAGGTAATAAAAAAAACAACCCACAAGTCTGAATGTGTTTACAACATACAGACATAATCTGGGCGCTGACGTTAATGTTGTCTCCTGTCAAACATGAAAAAGATCTCTACTAACGGTGGTTCACTACTTCTGGATGGATCGGTCCGTGCCTACCTAACAGTTAACAGTTTCATTACAAAATGGAGACTTCAATTTCCTCAGTTCATAGTTGAACAGTGGGAAGATATTTTGTAAATATTTCTTAGTTCTTACAGGTTGTCCAGATTTTCAGACTGCACTTTTCTGTGTGGTTCATTGGAGTTCTGTTGGGCCTTTTTATTTATGCTTCCCCCTCTTGATTTACTCTTCGTTCGTAAGAGGAACTAGAAGTCTTAAATGTCTCCAGCCCCGTTTAATTTGTGGTAGTGCAATATGAAAGAATCAAGAGTTCTACAGGCCATTTGAGCTAATTTATGAGAATGTAAACGTTTCTAAATAAAGCTGCTATGAAGTGGAACTTGTTCTGTCGTATGTTAGTGTGATCGTCGTTAGAAATGCAAACACGACAAATGGGATACCAAAATCTTTATTTTGAAAGTAGTACTTATAAATACTATGTCAGAAAATACATGGTAGTATTAAAAAAAAAAAAAAAAAAAAAAAATTACAAAAAAAAGGCTTACAAAGAACATTTTCAGCGCAGGAGTGGCAAAGTGATTGCTACTGGCTGGGAGACGTCTGCTATGAAAACATCCTCTTCTGAACAGCGGAGGACAGAATCATGTTTGCAAACCAAGTAACCGTCCATCCCAAGTCCCGGTCCAGTAGTGTGCAAATCAAGTGTTACTGGTGTCGGGGCTGAGCATCACAGAACAGACAGTTTACATTACAGCTCGCACCTACAACTTCTCTCACAGGTCGAGGTGATGGACTTTGTATTGTCATCTAAACAATGAATCAATGCAGCACAGTCCGTTCTGTCAGTGGACTCGGATTTATATTTTTTTTGTCAGGCTGAAGTGAGAATTTACTAATCCATCATCTGCATATTCAAAACATTCACTGCAGCTTCCCAAATGTTAAACATTTACATGCAGTGGAACTGAGGTTGGGTTTTTAAGGATAGGATGTTTGTCATTGTACGAACATACAACGAAATTAAGTTGGCGACTCAGTCAGTACAGCAGCAACAGTTAAAAACAGTTGGCCTTGATGGTTACTTTAAACTTCTCCTTTCCCTTTTTACACCAGAACTAATAAAGGAACATTCAGACACCTGCAAACACTCAACCAGCTTCTAGGTCTCCCGTGGTCCAGTTTTCCTAAATCCATTGATGGAAATGAGACTCGAGTACACTGATCTCAAGGCGGAGCTGTGGAGGAAAATGACTGATACTGATCCCGACTGTGTGCCTGTCAAGAGTGATGGTCTGGGGCAGAAAGAGAAGGAAGGGACTTGAGTGTGAAGTTGAGAAACAAAGAGCATCAACTGCAATGCAGTATTGCATGCCATGCATGCAATACTGCGAAGTCAGCTGTATCTTTGTGTACAGGAATACCAGCAGGTCTTTTGATACTGAAAATCAAGAGCCCACTTGAATTTTCTATCTAGCAGCATGCAGTAAACAAACAAGAGCCTTCGATGGTGCTTTTATTGTGGAAACGTCTCTTGCAAGTTGGCCACTGCCTGAAGTCAAAGAGAAGCATTGAGTCCTAACCTTGAAGGAGGCTTTTCTGTGTGTTAAAGCCGTTTTGCTGTTCTTCCCCAGTTTGTGAAGGAGACACTGTAGATAAAGATTTAAAAAAAGAATTATAAAATGCAGGCAAATCCCATTCGGAACTCTTTTGTAAAAGAAGAGCTAGCCAGTTAAGCAGATCTATTTAACTGAAATGTAATAAATCCACAAGAAAAAAGTAGATTCTTTAGCTTAAGTTGTGGTACTTGTGGTATTCAACAAACAGGACCACTCTAACCGTCCTTACCCCAGCCGTTGGTCGACACGTCGCGGTTGCAGATCTCGTTGGCCAGCCTCTCGAAGTACTCAGGCAGGTCGGCGTACTCGTCTCCATAGGAGATCACCTTGATGCCCTTGTCCAGCATGTTGTCGCGCAGCTTCTTGAACTCTCCCACGTCCTCTCGCCGTACGAGCATGAAGTGTTCCAGGTCCGACTTGTGCTTCACCGCCTCCAGGAAAAGCGCCTGGAAGGTGGTGTCGTCTACTGTGCGTCCGCAGCCGAGAAACACAAAGGATTTGGTCTCGTACAGCTTCTGGATCTCGCGCTGTTGAAACCAGCGGTAATATACATGTTATTACACTTAGACACTGTTGCATAATACAGTCCTTTCATCAGACACATAAGCACTAGTGAAGCGTTTCAGGGCTCACCATGACTTCAGTGTTCCTCAGTACATTCTGGTAGCCTGCAGGGTGCAGTACAATACCACTTGGGTTGGTGTAAACGCCATGGATATGCAGAACACTTAGCCTCCGTTTCTCCTGAGCCCACTCCAACACCTGGACACACACACACATCAGCACATAGTTAACAGTTCATTGCACTCGATCCTGTTCTGGCTGGGCTGGGAGCTAAATCACTGAACAGCAGTGAGAGGATATTAGCCCTGATGGAGTCGAGGCATAAATACCAGGACTGAGAGGGAAGGCAACAGGTCTCTCAGAAAACTCTATTTAACCAATAATCAACCTTGCTTTAAATAAACTGGGACATAAATTACACAATCTAACAATTGACATGAAACAACAAATATGTATACTGGGGAAACAAACGCTTCTTTAATCTTCAATCAAAAGCAAATATTGTACAATCTATAAAGTTTGACAGCAGCTGAGTAATGATTAGAACTTTAACCGGTCATGGTCAATAGGCTCTTTCAGGTCAAACAGTTTTCTACTTCTCTCTAAAACTGGCCAATGAGGAACTTCATAACTGCACAGTCAGTAAGTTGACCCATGTGCTCAGAGGACAACATACTATTTCTGCTGTCCAGACTAGTGTGTTTGTGATTTGAGATAAAACATGTAATTAACTTGACTTTTAAAACGTCTACACTCTGAGCCTGTCCCTACATGAAGTGACCTTTGCACTCGTCTTAAAAAAGCTGACTGGATGTATAGTGTGTTTACCTTCTTCTCGTCTGTCAGGTCCAAAGACTCCAGCTTGGTGCCCTGGTGAGCGGCATAGATCTCCAACAGGTTGTCAAAGTTAGTGGTGAGAACCAGGGCGCCGCTCTCCATCAGATGCAGCACTGATCGCAGCAGATGTTTCCCAGCATGCTCCATCTTACACTCCAAATCGTCAAACACCTCATATAGACAGTCCTTGAAGAACGTGGATCGCACGTTGCCTGTCCTCTGTTTAAAAAAAAAAAAAAGTTTTTGAGTTTCACAGTACACAATGTACAACAGCAACATAGCGTGCACGATGCACTCAGGACAGACTACGCTCTACCTGCTTATACTTGAGGATCAATCGTCAGCTAAGCACCTTTAAACACTGAAGTGCAGCAGCTGCCAGAGGAAGGAAAAGCCGTGCAATGAAAATACATAAATAATGATCATTGGAGCATAGATCCAGAGGTTTAAAGGAAGCACACACAGTGAAGTCTCAGCTCCTCTAGCTGGACCCCAGCCTTCTCATGACAGAATGTGCTGACTCTGCCCAAAGCTGCTTTGGTTTGTGAACACAAGAATGGACAAAATATGCACTCTCCCAAGTTTTAAATATAGATACCAATTTGCAATCTTTCCAACCTAAAAAATGCTTTGAGCACTAACTGAAAACTGATTCATAAAACAACCTCTGGAGGAAACCCGACCCTGTTAGTGTTTGACATTCCCCCCACATTGACTGGAAGTGGCATGTTTCACTTGTTTGAACATTAGAAGAATTATCTTTAGGGGATTTTGCTTTCATGGTAAAATATCTAAATACATGTAGGCCATTGTGGAATGACTGCGACCGATATGATTAATAAGTTAGTTATTTACTATCCTAGGCCCAGACTGTAGTACTGACTCATATATAGTCATGTCCTCAGGCTGTATTTATTTTAGTTTCAACAACCTTTCATGAAGACATCCCCCTTATTGGCACTGCCCTACCCAGAAATTCCTCAACTTGAAGTGAGACTTTCGGGATGTTTCAAATGTGTTCCAGTTTTCTTCTGTATCAAACACTCCATCAGTAATCCTGATCCTGTCCACAGCTCTTCAGGTATCATCTGACACACCACCTGAGTCTCTTTAGAGATTACAGGCTGTACTACTGCACAGTCTAAAATCTGACTTTACCTGGCAGAGTCTGCTGTAAAACAGAAAAACCAAAGCAACAGAGATGCTAAGAATAGAAAAGGGTTGAGTAGAGATGCAGTGACCAAGCTGATCCTAGAACAGGGAAATGGTCTGCTGACTTCCAGAGATCACAGCTCTAATGGGCTAAACAGCAGGAGTCCTTTCCACAGGAAGAAGCTCATTATCCACGGCTACGGCAGCCATCCTGATCACAGAGTCCTTCAGCTGTCTCAGAACTTATGCAAGAACCAAATGAAGAGCAAGTAAACAACTCTGTTTTATAAATATTCATTCTAAACTAGGTTTTTATGTCGTCGGCAGCGGGCAGACCACTGACTGCACTTCACCTTCCTGCTGGACGCCGGATTTAGTGTGCCAACGCCGAAATTTTACAACCGAACTATTAGGCTATTACTATTAGGCCTACCTTGCCTAATAGTAAAATCTAGCCCAGGTGTTTGTTCCAGTGAACGAGACTGTAGACCTGTGTTATTTCTGACTGAGTAGCTGGAACTTGTCACGGCAGGTGTTTGCTGAGGACCAAAGGAAGCGCAGTGTTGAGTGTGAAGTTGTTTGTATGAGCCTCATACAGACATCAGCAAAACCACAATGACCCTCAAAAAACATTGTTTGTATTTTCGGGCTGAATTGAGCACACAAACTAGTCTGCAAAGTTGTTATTAGCCTAGTTCTTTTTTTTTGCCATGGTCAAGAGTGCAAGAGGATTTAGTTTTTTACTTGAGATTACCCTCATTACCTGAGACTGTGTGCCTGCAAACCACCATAATCCATCTGATACACAATTCCATGAAAAATGGGTTAAACTCCCACAGCTTCTACTGGAATTAAATGGACTGAAGGCAGGTCTCTCATACCCTCATATGCTTTAATTCTCTTACAAACAACATGTGCTCATATCAAAATACCATATCATATGCCTTGGGAAACACTCGGATTCACACACTTGCAGATGGGTTTTGTGAATGCATTCACTTCGTCCTCTACTGTAATTTACTCTATGCTAGCTGTATGCTAGCTGTTCGGCTGGTGCTTTAACTGTCTGGACGGAAAATCTGGGCTCAGGCGCCGAGTGCTTCGCATTATTCTCTGCTTGTTTTCTCCGCTCAGCATGCTGGAGCCTGCTGTGTCTGTAGCCAACAGCAGTGGGCCGGTGTCTGCGTGACTGCGGATTGAAATAAACACGATGGATAAAGCCATAAAAGCGCTGCTTGTTCCCTTTGTGACCACGGGCTGAGGGGAGAAACAAAGCGCTTTATCAATGTCAAAGGTGCGATGAGACATGACTAACACAGGAGGCAAACTGTGTTGAGGCTCCCATCTGCCAGCCGGGCTCCAGACCAGACCAGTCCAAAGAAGCAAGAAAACAGAGTTGTGTGGAAATACAAAAATGTTCAGGGATGGTGATACCCTGTACAGTCAGGTGGCAGGAATCTTCTGGTAGTTTTGGTGGGCTTGATTGGTTCATTACATTCTGTGATGGCATTAAGCTGTGATGTTGCCCCTTGCTGCTGCAGCTAGGATTAGGCTTTGTTCGTTTTGCTGTCTGCAGAGCACTATCTTCATACTACCTACTGTGTTAGTCTCACTCACACACAAGTTAAGATTTGTTTTAGTTTCTCTCCTCTCTGCAGTCACATGGTGCAACACAGTCATGTTCTACTGCTGAGGCAACTTCAGAGTAAGATATGACAATGAGATTGTGTAGAGGAATTCATTGAAATTGCTATTTAATATTATTAGATATGATGCTCAGCTTGTTTTATTTTCATTTCTTTTTGGGAAACTCACAATTATCATATGAATTTGGCTGCATAACTTATTACCGACACCAATAACAGAACAGGAACGAAGTGAACACCAGACTGAACAACAGGAACATTTAAACGTTAGCACTGCTTCTCTAAACACAGTTTGGGGGAAGTTATTTTTTAATGTAGACATCTGTTTGCTGATGAAACTGAAGCATCAGTGGCCTCACCAGCCAAACTACCGTATAATTGTAGCTTTCTGCATTACTACGTAGTACGCAGCAGCGAAGGTTTGACCTGTAAGAACATTTAGTTTAAAGTTAATGTTTAAAATATGCAATTATGAATCAAGACCAAGACCTTTTTGGTGCATAGAAAACCAGTTATTATGCTGTATATGTGCTGTAAATATGCTATAAACCTTAAGGAAGGCAAGGGAGGGTTAATAAGGTAAACACTAATGTGGTTCAGCTTGTGTGCCTTCATTAGTGTTGTTTTGAATGAGAAACGGTAAACAAGCCTGCTCCTTGCATGTGTGATCAATTTTAGAGCAGCTGATTAAAACCTTTGTATTGACTGAAATTCCAACAGAAAGTCTCACAAACAAGCCTTGTGGTATTAGCTTAGGTCTTTTAACGAGATAAGGCTAAGATCTCTTATCTCAATCCATGAAAGTTTGCCTGAGGAAAGGAAAGGACAGTGGGCTGGCAGCCCGTCTGCCATGTGTTCGTACATGTGCGACAGGATGGTGTAGAGAGGAAAGCCAAGGGAAGAAAAAGGGCTCAGGCAGACTTACCGGGGAAAGTTTCTGAATGAGGTCATGTGCCACATGCACCAAATTCTTATCTTCCTGCATATGCTTCTGGAAACGCCGACTCTCCTCCTCCTCTAGTAGGTCAAAGTCGTTGGCTGCATCCAGCAAGGCCTGAATGAGGCCCTTCCAGGAGCGGAGAGCGGGGACTTGAGGGGCCACTGCGGAGCTCACCCCCGTGCCGATCACCAGGACGAGCTCAGGGGCCCGCTTGGTCTTCAGGCTGGGTAGCAGTTTCCTTTGGGGGGCATGCAGAAATTACAATGATGATGGTTTCAAAAGATGGTGCTTCCCAAATCCTCCCACACAGCATTAAACAAACCATTTGGCTACTAAACAGTCCCTCAGCTTACCTGGGCTTCTTTGCATTTGTGTCTGCATCCTGATTATCAGCTGCAGGTCGCTTCTCAGTTTTCACTGCAACAATGGAGGCCATTCAGTTCCTGTAACAGAAACATGATTAACCACATGCTAATAACTTTGACAACTACGTACAGTAATGATGTAATGGTTAAGTGTCACGTTTGGCTGTCATTTGTGAAGCTTCCCTCTTAACAACCATATTATATTGGTGTAATTAACATATCCCTGCCAGGTACAAGTGGCATGACAAATGAAAAACTGGTGTATCCACTTGATCTACTTTAAGACCGTCATCATTTCGCAAACAGGAAACAATTTATAATTTTCCTCCTGGCAACACACCTTGTCTTAATGATGACATATGCTGTTACACCATTTAAACCTACAAAGAGGATGTTGTTCCTGGAAACTGTGACAGACAGCGTGACGTTAAGTAGCTGGTGTTTCCTTAACATTTTTACTTCTCAACTCTTAACATTAAGTCAGTGTCCCACTGGCCCAACAGCAAGCAAATGTGGAAAGTTAGCGTTACACAAAGCATAACTTAGTATTTAACCCAGTGAACAAATACAGATACTAACTGACAAATACCAGTTACAGTTCACACAATAAATACAACTTTACCTCGTTTATAAACCATTAACGTGACTTACCTGGGTATAGGTAACGCTAAGTTAATGCCCGGTGTTTATTTCCGTTCAAGTATAAATCCTTTAAGTTAAGTCTGCTAAAGTAGAGTCGTGAGCAACGTTTTAAAAAATCTCGGACAACGACTTTACTTGCGACCTTTTTAGCTTCTGGTGGTGTTGACGCTATCCTGGTGATAAGTAAGCGTCGGGACAGTTAACGGGCACTGTATCACCAAAAAATAATGGACAAAGAAACCCCAACAAACTAACAACTAGCGTAAAGCTAACGTTTGTGTTGCTTTAAGCTAAGTTAAGTTAGCTAACTCCGAGGATGTCAAGAGCCCGAAACTGCCTCCGTTTTACTTGTCATTCTGAGTAATTAAAGCAGCATATATTTGTTGTTAACCAAGCTTTTTTTTAGCTAAAGAATAGATGTCAGGTAATTTCCCCCGAGTACCGGTATACACCAGAAATGCTCTCGACTTTCCTGGCTGCTACGGTGACCGTCTATGTTTAAGTTTTGCGGATCTGTTGAAGTCACCGCCTATAGTTTTGTGATGCGTTCAGGTGCGAATGGTTCCTTCAGTACCGCATGTGGACGTTTGTCTTGGTGCATGGCGATGGTTAATGGTATTGGGTTTATAAATACTATATTTTGAATAGTCACATATTCATGTACATATTAGAGTTTTTAGTTCTTCACTGCATCATAACATGCATTAATACCACAATAGTATTCACTACATAACAACAAAGCACGTATTTACCATTTTAAAGCTTGGAAGTGTAGATTAACAAGGAGCACTTGAAAGCAGCAAAACCAGACCCGTATTGATTGTGTGACGTAGCAGACCTGCAGTATAATATACTGTATATATATAAGCTGTTGTGTACGTCATAAACTGTTGCTTACTCTATTAAACTGTTGTGCAGACTGCAGCTGTTTAGAGACAAAACTTCTCTCTCTCTAATATACAGTAGCATCGTTCAGAAATCTGTGGGATCCATGTAGACCTATTCAGGAATCTACCAATCTGGAGTAGACAATTGATACAAAGTACAAAAAATAAATAGATCATTCAGCAATGTCTGCTATATGATCATGTTTACTTCTGTGTTTAAAAGCAAGCACTTTCAAAATTTTAAATAATATATTTAGACTTTGAAATACTAAAAACACTGTCGTTAAGCTGGCATTTATTGATACACTTCGCGCCAGACATATTCCCAGATGGCTTGTTTTTTTTCCTTTCCCATAAGGTATGCCAAACAGTAACACGTCAGTATAAACTACTTCAGGATAACTACTACTAGCCTGCCATCCCCTGTTTCAAATGAAAACTGCATTTGAAGTTTTTAGGGCAAGAGTCACAGCCTTCAATAAAACCAAAGTATTTGCTATTTATATCCTTTGTCTTGTATAAATCAGGTTGTATGTTTGTTTTTTCAAATTACATACAAATATGCTAATGCTCTTGTGTAAAGTTGGTACCAAAATATATAACATATAATACAAATTTTAACCACTCTGCTAGTGCTACAGCTGCTGTCTCCCTGACCATAACAAATCAAGGTGAATACATTGTTATGGACCCCACAAATGAAATAGCGTAGTTGAATATTAATAGTGAATTAGTACATGAATTTACATGAAGTACATTATTTACCCAGAAAATGTGAGCCCACTTGTACCAGGTGCAGGTGGCCTAATACACTCAATATCCTTTTGCAGGGTTTCCATAAAATACAGGGCATGTGTCTTATTGGAGATGCCACAAAGCAGAAGTGCTACTTCATTGTTATGCACATGTTTCAGCATGATTCTCAGTTCAAGTTGCAGGACACATTTGCAATATGAATAGAGCTGTAATGCTTATTTTGCTCAGAATCTGAGTGGTGTGTAGGTCTTATTTTCATACATCCAATCACGGAAGACTCAGTTATGTGACAAAAAGTACTTCACAGCCCGCTCATTACCCACTTTCTTTTATTCAATTTATTTGAGAATGAAGCCAAATTAACATTGTAGGATTAAAGGTTTGACATAACCCCCCTCATAGTACCAAATAAAACAGCAATATATATTGGAGTGAGATGATCCACACATGTTCACCCGGTGAGTAAATAAGTTATAATTATTGTGCATACATATTGTGTATAGGTGTATTTGAAATGATAACCCACATCAATGCAAGTTAGTATTAAAAATTCAAATACATATCTGAATCAGCAGACACATTTTCAATCCACACATATCAATGTATTGAAAGACACAATCAAACATTAAAGGCATACCATTTGTCAATCTTCAACATTCAAAAAATATTTTCCATTTCACATTTATATTCCAAATCATCAAGCAATATAGAACATTACAGCTGTAAGGTTTCTTGTCTCCTCGTAAAAAGACTCCTGTTTGATAACAGGAGAAAAGGCATACTGGTCGCATTTGATATCTTAAACCCATGCTCTCTCGCACAAATGATTTTTAATCACTGGTTTATTTGCAAGACGGTTATGAAAAGGTACAATCCATTAACAAAGCAAGAGTCTTAACTTTACACTCTTTCCCTTCTTAGAATGCATCAGTTATCTTAAATAGCACAACGTGAACCTGAACGTTGCATGATGCACAACAAAAGACTTCATTTCCATGCTGGCAGATTTGGAGCTGTAGTATTTCACTGAAGAGTAAATAACTGAACCTGCAGGTTTATAAACAGTCACCCTTTTGATAGTAAAATATCAGAGTCATGACTCAGGTGTTTGCAGATGTTTTGCTAGTTTGCTTTTTGACTAGTCTGAAGAGGGAAGTAAAGTGATATTGCAACTGACGGTTCATTAACTCCGAAACAAGATCAGCAAACTGTAGTCATTTCCTCTTACCAAGGGGAAATATGGCTTTAAGGGCACAGAGGATTAGCATAGGTCTGGTCAGGGGGCTCTACACAGTTTCCAGCAGCATCTTCCTACTCTCTTCAACCCTACATAGAGCCTTACACCTAGTAAAGTCTATGAAGAGCCAAAGGTAAAAGAAGAAAGAAACCACAGCTGCCTTATACAGAGATAGAGCCCTCTCTAAAGTTGGTCTTTCCTATCAGAACATTGAGAAGTGTAGCCTTGCCCTCCCGGGTTTCCCTCTGAGCTTGTCTGATGATGTCGCTGAGCCGGTCCTCGTCCTCGCGCCCTATGAGGTAGCCCTTACCACCGTAACCATCTGCCACTATATGATAATCTGCAGAGAAGGAGAAGAAAATAGAATTTGCCAGTCAGTAGCTGCCCAGTTAATCATACATTAATACAAATGAGTTTTGGTCACAATGTGGGATACGAACGACATATTCCTACAAGCTATCAGAGCAGTTACACAACATCCCATGTAGAAAACACACCTGTAAACGCAAGACCACACGCCACATTGCTGCCGAGTATGGGAACCTGCTCTCTGGATATCTGACTCCAACATGCGTCATTTCCCACCACAGCTATTATCGGTGTCTGCGATAAAAAAGAGGAAATGTGGATTAGCACAACAAAAAATTGTGACTGCCCACTGCACTCTACTGACATCTACCTCGCTCTCTTGTTTCACCTGTTAAAGCGGGACAACTTAGACAAATATTATTTTTATTGGTATACTAATACCGACATGACTTTCATATATTTGCAGTATTCATTCTCCTACTATTGCATATTTGCAGATACTGTAAATATTGTCATTGGTGATTTTACCTTGTGTCTAGTGAATGTGTCAAACTCTGCAACGCTGTATCCTAAGGAGCCGTCGCCATACACTATCCACACCTGAAAAGCACAGAAATGTAGAATTCCATTCATAAGAAGGGTGAACATCGATCGATAGATGATCGGACAAAACATGATCGGAGAAATGCCTGAATCAATACTTTACCTCAGATTCAGGCCGGCACAGTTTTGCCCCCAGAGCAAATCCTCCTCCAACTCCCAAAGTCCCAAAGGCTCCTGTAGGGACAAGAACCAGTAAAGTTATGTCACTATTACTGCTGGGAAAGCATGATTAACCTCAGGATACACTGCTGTGATATAGACCAAACACTAACTGCAATTATTCGCTTACTCTTGTGATTTTGACTTCATAAATGACAACAACAGTATTTTGTTCCGTGCACTTCTGTAACCTCTTTGTGCGCCGACCAATCAACAAACAACTGAAGTCAACAAATCAAATAGCAAGCCCTCTCCTCTCACATTTATAGAACCAAATATTCATTGTTTTTATCCCAACAGTTCTTCATCAACAAATCGTTGTTTGGCCGACGAGATCTAACCTGGATCTAGCCAACGCATAGGTCCTCTTGGTCTCATTATGTAAGCAGCACTGCCAACAAAATCCCCCCCATCAGCAACAATGATGCTGTCCTCTGCCATCAGCTCATCCACACAGTGGAGGACTTTCAAGGGATTTAAGTGGTGGTCGGTCTTCTCATCACCTTTGGCCCTAAAATAAATTAAAAACAATACTGTAGCTTATGTGATGGAGACACAATTTTGTAGTTACGCAGCTGTAGTTGCATTCACATTACAATAACTGATACAATTGTGTTTGCTTTCTCATTATTTAAGATCTAATCAGGGCCTTTATTGATCATAGGGAACAGAGGTTTAACAGATGTTTTTTTACAATGTGTGCTGACACATCATCCCCTCCGCTTACCTGTTTACATTGTCTTTGGTGATATCTCCTGCTTTGAGCCTCTGAGGCCATTCCTCTGGACAGCGATGGCCCTTCAGGCCTTTGGAAAGCCGTACTAAGAATGAGCCAGCATCACCTAAAACAAAGCAATACACACATTGTAGACTCTGCACGTTTAACGGATGTATTTGACATATGGTCCAACCCTTTTTTGTTTTTGACCACTCTGTAATCTCAAATTATATAAAGTGTTCAGTGTAGAAATTGGAGCAAGTAACAAAAATGTTGTATTTTTAATGAAATATTCTTCACCAATGACACGTGGTTACATTAATCACGATCACGCATCGTGACGGTGACTTGTGAACATACCCTGAATTGCCATTGTTGGTTTCCAGAACATATCGGAGTTTTTCAGCAGCTGCGTCTTATCTCTGTTGATTGCGATGATCTTACTGCGTCTGTTGAGAACGCTGCCGTAGCTCAGCCGGAAGTCACACACAGTGCCTGCAAACGCAACACGCAATGTTCACTTCCTGTACATTTCTCAAGGAATTCTGGACAGCCTGAAGCTTTGCTGGCTTCTAATGCAGGTCAACCTCCAGACAGTATTTCAACAACCATGGAGTAACTTTCAGAGTCAGTTTAGAGTTCATTTATAGCAAGGAACAGCTGTTATTCTGTGAACCCTTGAAGAATCTAAATTATTTCTAATACATTTGTATTAATTTCTACAGTATTCAGGTAATAACACATATCCACCGTATAACTGTGTTAATCAATGACCCCCCCACCCCTTTTATCTTATGTTAACTAGTCATATTCTGTAATTTTGTTTTGTTTGATTATTAAGTAATATATATATATGTTAAAGCATGTTACCATATAGGATTTAAACTGCAAAACTGTATGCCTGACCTGCTAAGAGCACCAAGTCGGCCTCCTTCAGGGCATCTCGCCTGTTCTGTCTGATGTGGATGGGGCTGTCTTTACCCAGCATGCCGCGGGACATTCCCCCAAGGAAGCAGGGGATGCCCAGGTCCTCCAATGTCTTCCTATAAAGCAAGAAAAACAGGTTTGCCCAGATTAGCATTGTAAAATGTCAAATTCTAATGCGAAAACTAATGAAAGGCACATAGGTTGAGTATTTTAATAAATAGTAAACAGTGCCAGAAAAAACAAGACACAGGATAGAAAAGTAGACACATTGTTCTTTACCTAATGTCATCGGCCGGGGTTGGAGGTAGAGTTGCTTGGCTACCCAGCAGAATAACAGGCTTCTTGGCTCGACTCACCAGCTCGATGCACTTTTGTACCTGAATTGTATTTAATTAAAAAAACAAAAACTCTTAGTCATCTTAATAGTGTACAAAGGGACTGTCACTGACTGTAATGTATTTCACTAAAAACGATTACATCAAGCCTTTAAGAGCGGTCTCACCTGATCGTCGGTGGCTTGTGGGATGTCAACAGGAAGCGGAGACACATCTCTGGTCTCCCAGGCTCCAGCAAAGAGGTTCATGAGGTGGTTAGTGAGGTACCTTACAAGAAATCAGATCATCATGTGAAATCATTTTAGATGCAATATTTAATTGTTGCCTGTATTTGACAGACGAGAGTGAATCGTGGGAGAGAGAAAAAGCACAAAAAGTTCCAGGTTGTATAAAAGATCCAGGTCAGACTCACACCAAAGATGATACGTTTATAAAGGTATGTGTTCATTTATGTTAACAAGGTACCAATGCTCATCTCAATTCATGCATAAAGCTGCTGATTTAAGTTATGTATACAGTACTCTTCAAACTTTATGTTTCATGCAATCTCATATTATCATGTCAAGTCAATTGGTCTTCTATTCTCTGTTCATTTTGTGTGCATTTTACATTCACAAACTAGTAATGTGCAGTGTGTAGAAGACACGCTAACACACCATGAGACAACTTTGCCCATCAGGCCTTTGGGAGGGTTCTTAACTCCAAACTCTTTGGACACAAGATGGTAGGGGTAGAGCGTGTCGATGGGGAACTCTATGAAAACAGGACCGGGAGTCCCCGACTGGGCGATGGCCAGGGCTTTCCTGACGGTAGGCACGATCTCCCTGATGGTCCTGATGGAGGCGCAGAACTTACACAGCGGCTTGAAGAGAGACATCTGGTCGATATCTTGCAGCGCTCCTCTGCCCTGTCCCACAAAACACAGTTGATGAAGACGTTAGACGCCGAGGTTGAGAAAGAGCCAAGATGAAGTCCAACACATTTAAAGGACCATCATACTTGAAGCATTGTGCCAGCAGCTCCTCCCATGAGCAGCAATGGAGATTCAGCCATCTGCGCATTCTTCACAGCTGTCACTGTGTTAGTGAGGCCTGGGCCAGCAGTCACTGCTGCCACACCAACAGTGCCTGGAGGGGGGAAACAATCAAGATAGCTATCAACCTGCCCCCAAAACACACACATTACTGACTCATGGAGCTAACTAGAAACTAAGACAGCATGCAAAACCAGGCAGGGCTCAAATAAGACTCACGAGTCATACATTTATCTAATCGTGTAACATAAAGCTGCACCTGAGAGTCTCGCCACAGCATCAGCAGCGAAGACAGCGGTGGCCTCATGTCTAGTGTCCACGATGCGGATGCCCACCTTCTCACAAGCCACCAGGATGGGCGAGATGTGTCCGCCGACGAGTGTGAACAAGTACTTGACCCCGTGGGCGCGGAGCACCTCTGCCACACTCTCACCACCATGTCGCGGGCTCTTCGTCTCAGTCTGCAGTGAGTCAGAGGACAAAATAAAAGTTGAGTCAGGAAAGAAGATAATCAAATAATTCATACTGATTTACCAAAGTAAAAGATTATGTGACAACCCCTCTGAGGGTCACCTGTCATTTATCTCCTCTCTCCACCAGTCTTTCACAACAATCACACATTGTTCAGGCTCACAGGGGTGAAGTACCGCTGGTCTTTGTGCAATCGCACAAACAACCAGGGTGTTGTGAAAGCCTTGGTGCTAAAACCACAAGGCTGGTCAAAGTTTACGTGAATAGAGGCCGTCTTACCTTTCACCTGTGACAGCCTGCACACAGAATACAAGTGGTTCTCTATCATGCAGGTGTATTTGCAATGACTGATCCGTGCAACACGTTTTAAGATAGTATACATGTGGAGCAAAGGAATGGGCAAAAAGCATAGAATTTACAATTGTTGAGTTGTGTCAACCTACCTTGTGAAACAACTGGTACAGTAAGCCAAGTTTGTAGGCTGCAAACACAAGCACAGCCATCGCAATGCCCGCAGAGCATCCGAGAACGGTGCCAATGGCTCCACATGACTCCATGTCTGGATGCAGGAAGCAAACCTTTACTTTATAAAAACTCAACTTAGCTTGAGTTAATATCTAAACCTACTTTAACTGGTCCAGTTCAGCAGGTCAGCTCGGCTAGGCTAAGGCACAGTGGAGCTGCTCTCACAAACCGCTATACCCGCATTTCGAAAGTCTTTAATTGTATCAGTGCATTCCCTTTAAAATGAGCTAATATTAAGTTACTGATAAAATGCTGTTAAGAGAATCCATTCGGTTCTTCTGCAACTTGCAATGACTGAGCGCTCTTCCTGCAATTGCTGTGCCGACACAGGAACACCAGCGGATATATTTACAGGTCAAGCTAGCTAGAACTACATTTACAACTTCTGGTTATTATTTTCAGAATAAACCCATGGGAACAAAGTGCCCGTATTAGAGAGGCATAATGCCTTCACTTGAGAAATTATATTCGCCCTGTTGTTTTAAATTGACCAGATGCTTACCTCGGTAATTCTAAGGAAAGTTTTCATTGGAAAAAAATCTGCTGTTTTTTTCCTGAAATAAATAATGTAATATTAATTCAGAAAAACAGGGCAAATATTTATTTTCAAGTGAATGCATGACACTTCCGTAACAACTATATGCATACCCATATTCACATATATTCATATACGTAATGGAAGACTATTATGTCAACATAACTTCTCAGAAATTGAGTCTACATGTGATCACGCTGGCCATTACTACAAATAACCTTTATTATGAAAGAACGGACAACTTCGTTTCCGCTTAAAATTGTGAAATTGATTTGGCTGTGTGTGGATAGGGATAGGTGTCTTTTGTATGGCGAAGGGTAAGGGACAAAATTAAGACTACCTTTATTGATCTTTGCCAATGACGGCCCTGGTCGGCCTTATTAATAAGTAGTTAACAAGTGCCTTCTTTCAATTTCAAAGAGTAAATATACATAAAAATGTTACATATGTAAAATATATAGTCCCACAATGTCCAAACCAAACTAACTTGTGAAACTTTAAAGGAGCTTTATTGAACAATCTGAACATTAATCTAGCATAATGGCATGAGACTGTAGGGCCTTGTGCACACACAGAAATTGAAAAGAGAGAATTAATACCATTATTTCTAATCAGAGTATAATGAATATGAAAACTAAAATGAGAAAACAAGATGAATCAAACAATGCTGGTGCATTGTTGAATGTAAGGCAACAGAATCAATGGCAACATTTCACTTAACATTTGAAGAAAAAGAATCACCACACTGTTGCACAATAGCAATTGAATATATGTTTAGTGAATTAATAGCTTTAAATCACATCACAGTAACTGCCAGTATCAATAAACTGTCCCACAATGTGTGTGCATAGAACTGCTTGTGTTGTTGCTGTACATTATCTTCACAGCAGAGTGCAAAAGGGGAGTTTATAGACATCAATTGTCCTTCCATGTTCGGGATTTTCAGCAAACAGTATTTTGTCATCCACTTTTTGTTCCTCAAAAACGATTATCTAAAAGAGAACATCAAAAATACTTATTCTACATATTGTACATACACAATCTTCCACCAATTTTCTAGAAAAACTTCATATATTACATATATCATTCATTTACATGGGTATACCTGATTCTCTCCACTTCTGAGCCAAGTTCCTGGGAGATAAAGGAAAAGCTGGGGACCAATGCACCAATGGCGTCCGAGGTTCTGCCCATTAACAAACACGACTCCTTTACCCCAACCCTGTGAATGGAAGCACTGGTACAGTCAGTAAAAGGTTTGTTTTCCAAACTGTATTAAAATACCTCAACAGTAAAACAGTGGTGTAGAGCAGTAAAATGTAAGGCATCAGAATGTGTTAAATAGATTCAAAATGTTTTAATTAGATCAAATATACAGATATATAACACTAAGATACATCATAATACTGTATATGATTTTATTATACATGCATGCAAGTTACTGTATTACAAATCATAGATAATTCATAAATATAAGAAATAGTAAATCAATATAAGAAATTCCCTATAGCTATAATAGATCAACGTAAAATATTACATACAGGGAGTCTGATGAAGGTGTCTCTGGGAGGACCATCTACATACAGTCTGGCCTGGAAAAATCCTGGAATAGACGGCGACTTGAAGTCAGACTTCCACTGACCTGAACTCATTAATCTGAAAAAAGATCAAAGATTTATGTGAAACTGTAATCAAATTATGACCCAAGAAGGATTTGGCAAAAACATAACTGAGTTTTGCAGTTCAGTTATTTTTATCTCTATTTTCACCAACATCCAGTAAGTGCATGAACTATTTTGCTTTTTGTGTCCTTAAAGAGGTCTAGTAGTCTCACAGAATGAAAATTCAGCTAACCAACCTTTTCATAAAGCCTGGCTTCATATCCAAACAGAAGATGGTGAATCCTGTCAGAGGGGTGTGATTCAACAGAATGTCTCCCACAATACCTGTAATACAATATGAGGTTTAAACATAGAAGAAGTCAGTAATGTTACGCAGCGGCAGTGATTTGACTCGTGAACAGATTTTTCATCTTTATCTGAACTGTTCTGATACTTCCTTTGGCTTGGACAATGTTAAAGTTAATGTTGAGAATGATTTGACTCAGGTCTGAAAATCGATGATAATATGAAGAGTTCAGGTCTGAATTATACATTAGCAATGCACAATGTGTATTTATAAACTCAGATGACTCAACAGGTGAACAAACAATAAACCAATGTGTGGCAGACACAATGCAAGACACTAATACTTGACGTTAGAATACCTTTGCGCTGTTCATCAAGAGCTTTTCCATAATTCACTCTTCCACAGTTCTCCACAAGCAAGCTCAAGATCATCTCTCCCTTCAATGCACAAAACATTCGTGTCATTTGGAAAGTTATTTAGTAAAGAGAGATTACAATGAGACATTCTGAAATTCCTCTGCTGCTAATGTGCCAGAATAACAGAGACTTCTCCACACGTAATGAATACAGCTTCTCAGAATCACATTTTGTTGTAAATTCCTCTAAATCCAGTTTGAGCACAGTTAGATACTCCAAAATTGGAATCTGCCGGATAACTCGGAAGCCATCAGAATATATTTAAATCTATCCATCTGGCTATTTAGCCATTGTTTACAACATTTGGGCCACACCTCATAATAATGGGCTTGCAACATTGCTAAATTTATCATAATCCTGCAGCTGACTTTTTTTTTTAAGCATTGTTTTCAATCAAGAATAATACATCTGGCAATATATTTCTTCACTCCAAAGACAAAGTTTAAGGATTGTCAGAGAAAACCAGAGTATACCGGTCCATCAGGCAGTGCCAGCTCATGAGTCTTGTAGTCCAAACAGCCAACACATTGTCTGTCCACAAAAACCTAGAGAACATGAAAAGTCAAAATGACAGGATTTTTTGTATAACCTCAAAATAATATAATTTGAAACTATATTATGCATGCATTGTGTGTGTGTGTGTGTGTGTGTGTGTGTGTGTGTGTGTCTGCCTGTGGGTCAATCTATTTACTCTCACCAGAGCTCTATCTCTGATGTTGTTCCTGGAGTTGAGGGTTCCTCCACTGGTGATGGTGGTTTCATACAGTGCGTAACCATATGACTGACCACTGTTATTGTTGACAGGGAGATCCTCCATGTTCACCGGCCTCTCTGACCTGTATGGCTGGATGAATAGTCAAACATCCTGATGTATGTATGCATGCATGACACTGCAACGCACTTGAAATAAAAAGAGTCCACCGAACAGCGTATGACAGATACTTCTGGGAAAAAAGCAGGTGTGTTGACACCCTTATGCATGACCAAACCCAGATTTCCAGGTGTGTGACATCTGTCTTGAGCATGGGCAGTTTTTTTGCTACATCTCTACACAAATGGAGACACCAAAGCAGACACACAGACTTATAACAGAGATGTTCCGTCCATCTGAAGCTCGCCACATCTTAAATTTTGCACTCATCCCAGCAGGGCCTATCTGACAGTATGGATAAAACATGTTTCATTATATGTATCAACTGTCACAGGAGACAGGTGCGTGCTGCCTGGAGCTTACCTTGGTGGTGAAGTGCAGGCTGTCCCACAGTGACAGGTGCTGTTGGATGGCAACAGGGTCGTATGCTCTCGTCTTCTGAGGAGTGGGCTCTACAGGAAGCGGCTCAGCTGGAACACCAGTTGGCAAAAACATTTCATTAATCCTAATTACGGACTCAATTACTTTGGGTAATGCAGTCATCAAATTAATTGTTGGGTGTACATAGTCTAACACGAAATCTGTAATGGAATCAATGCACGCGGATGCTTAAAAATACATTACAGTGGTACTGGCTGAGTAAATTCCTCAAGAGTTGATATTTTGGGGTGCAATCTCCAGCCTCAGATAGCGGAGCGTCGTAATCTGCAAAGAAAAAGTTTATAAAAACCATAAGAAGTAAGAAGCAATGCATTTGTTAAGGGAGATCTTACTCATTAATTAAATAATCATTTGTTCTTTGGTCTCTGAGCTCAAAGGGAATTTGAACCTACCATAACTGGTGACCTGAGGTTTGTAGGTGCCTAAGTCCATTGCTCCATTCATGAAGCCAAAGCTGGTTCCCCCATGAAACATGTACAGATTAATAGAGACACCTCTCTTCAGGATCTCTGACACAACAGCTATCATATCTGTAAACCATAAAGGATGTCATAACACACAAAGTGAGCCAGAGAGCAATATGCAGCAATGAAAGTGTTTTTTTCAGTAAGGCAGCAATGCTCTTCTCTGCAGGTTGAAGTGTCCTTGAACCCATAAGCTCAACACTGACAATCTGAATGTTTGAAAACAGATATTGTCCATTGTGAAGCTGGTAAGTGTGTAATACAATGAATTGAATGCAGAATAATGCTGAAAAAGAGCAGCAGAATAGTTCACTGAAAAAATAATGTTGAAAAGTGTTTCCGTACCCTCAGCGTGGAACACATGGTGATGTTCTCCCCAGACGTCAAACCACCCCAACCAATACTCCATCACCATTAAAGGTTTCTGTGGCTACGTAAAACAGAACACATGTCTGTATTAATACATATCTTACTGCTGACCTGTAATTTAAGAGCAAGGCTTCAATGAGAAACAAAATCTGCCATTTTTTTCTTTTGGGCTTTTAGTGCTTTTACACAATATGCCAGTATGTAAAAGTAGAAAGACGAATAGCAAAGACTTTTTACTGTTACAAGTAGTCAGTAGTGAGTGAAAGCAACATTGCCAAAGCTGCCCATTACGATCACCTACCTGCATGTCAGCTAAGTGCTGGATAGCTCCAAATGACAGTCTCTGAAGATTTATTGTTTTTAGAACTGAAATGAGCAAGATTTAGATCAAATGAAGGACAAAGTCAAACAATGACAAAGTATATTATGAACAGTAATCTTCAAAATAACGTTTTTCTCATATAAGTAGAAGAAGAATTCAATCATAATAAAATACAATATTCTGAAATATAATACACTTTAAGAGATAAATTACAAACTACTACAAAACACTGCCCTTTTGACTCAAGGGTTAGTTATCTTCATCACCTCCCTCCATCCCTGCATATCTCAGGCCCTCCCAGTTGTCTGAAGTCAGCAGGAGCTCCTTGATCCCTCTGGACTGGAGACACTGCAGAAAGATATTCTAAATGAATTTCATTATAATGCAAATATCAGTTAAATGTAAACATTGCAATGCATTGGTAAACTCACATTCTGTATAAATGGCATGTATTTCTCATCTTTGGCATATGAACCATATTCGTTCTCAACTTGGACTGCAATGATTGGGCCTCCCTCTTCAAACTGAGAATACAAACAAGGAAAAATAGTCAGTCTCTTTGAATTTCCAATTGTTCTTTCAGGAAATATTATAACAAAGCTGTGAGTTTAATTTACCATCAGAGGTTTGATAACTGAGACAAGCTTGTCAAAGTACAGGTTGACAGCATCTACAAATCCAGGATAAGTTGTCCTCAACCGCATGCCTTTATCTTGTAACAACCAGCTGAAAGAAAAGTGACAAGAGCTTCTTGGCAATACTACTGATATATGGCAATATTTTAAAGGAATAGGCAAATGGTCTTACCTAGGTAACCCGCCCAAGTCCCATTCAGCGCAGATGTAAGGTCCAGGACACAGGATCACCCACAGACCCATCTCTGCAGCTAAACTGACGTAGGCCCTGAAAGATGCAGACACATTTTCCCTCATTTCAAAAAGTACTGTCCTGCAAGTCTTTTGGGAATATTTAAATCTACAAAGAAGAAGAAACAGAACATAAAAGCCTTACTTGAGGTCCAACTGATCCTGAAAGTTGAACGTTCCTCTCTCAGGCTCATGCAGATTCCATGGCACATATCTGAAGAAGCAAGCAGGAAAACAATTCTTTGTAGCTTCGAAGCAATAGTGTCCAGTGGCTCGTAAAAATCCTCATATTTCCTTTGTTTCTATTTCATTTTAAGGTGAAGAGTTTCGTAAGCCATTTCATACAAACACATCTGATTTAACCTGATCTGTGTTTGACCTTCTTCAGAAACAGAACGGTGATAATCCTTTGATATGAGGCAGAGTCAAGGTGCAGTGGGAGCCTACGTGGTGAGAGTGTTGAGGCCACAGGCCTTCATCTTCAGCAGCCGGTCCTCCCAGTAGGCTCTGGGTACACGGAAGTAATGGATGGAGCCCCCCAGGATACGGAAGCGTTCTCCCTCCAGTGTGAACTGAGAGGAGTTGGCCCTCAGACCCTCTAAATGGCTCATTCTTCTCACTTCAAGGTGATGTCTGGTGGGGAAAAACTGTCAAGATAAAATACAATGGAAACGGCCCAATCTTCCGAAGCAGGTCATACGTGTTAGATAATAGAATTCAAAGGTGTTACTGTAATAAAACCTTACAAACAGATGGCCACTTGAAATGAGGCATCTGTGGTATATCGTACATAGTATGAATATGAATGGCACAAAGTGCATTTATTTACTTACCAAGACTTAACACGAAATTCCCAAATGCAGAATAACAGAAAATCTCGATTACATAAAAAATATTGCTGTACCATAAAGCTGAGCCTGCCTGTGAGCATTTGAAGAGAGGATGATGCTGGGAGGCCTCAAACACTGTGGATAAGGGAAACTATTGTTGTTTCGGAACAAAAAATACAATAGTGCACTGTCTCTCTCCCTCTCTCTCTCTCTCTCTCTCTCTCTCTCTCTCTCTCTCTCTCTCTCAGTCAGAGAAGGGAGGCATCACAAAAATGTTGGTCTCATGATAGTTTACATGAAGAATGTGCTGGTGCCCTATAGTGGGTTTGATTGTAATCACAGATTACAAATAGGTTACCTTGTTCAACTGTGGTCACAAGTGAGTGTGTAAAAGCGCGAATGTGTGTGTGTGTGTGTGTCATGATATTGTGTCTTCTCTACCCCATTTAGGATATGGTAGGGGTGCTCATTGTTTCCTCTCTTCTGAGAGCACATGAACATTTTATAGTTATTGATAAGATGAAAAGTCAACACCATAGAACAAGGAGCAGCACAACAATTGCAGACAATAAAAGCAAAGGGTATGTAGCACAATCTTCTTCCCTTATCATCAATCACAGTTTAAGCTAATTGTGCTCCAGGGATGTTGGGATCATGAGCTGAAAAAAGACGTAGGACATATTAAATTTTAAAAATGAATGCGAGGAGGGAGGATTTAAGTGACGTGTAATGACGAAGAATGGACTGATCAACAAGGCGAGAACAAGACATTTAATTTCTCCCCTCATTAGAAAGCATCTGGAGAACTGTGACATCTGAAGGAGACTTTTGGGAATATTGTTGCCCAAATATGCGAGACAAAGACAGACACTAAAAATGACCTGGAGAATAATTATATTAAAAGTATGTCTGTAAATACAACATGCCGTTTAGTCTAATAGGGGAAAAAAGATTATATTCTTGCATTCATGACAACAGCATAATTGGATATAAAGAGAACGTGTTTGGTAGATTGTTGAAGTAATCAATCTTTTTTTATTTGAAAAAGAAAAAAGCAAGGGAAGTTTGAGTTGTTTTCATTTTCTGCGTTTCTTCAGCAGCATAATTGTGCGACGGTCCCCAACCGTCAACAATAGAATCAGCTGTTTGTGTGTTGCGTGTCCTACTTGTGGACTACTAACGCTAGCTTCCCCCCATATCAAATACTAGTTAGGTTAGGCTACACCAGCTAACACTATGCGACTACGTTACATTTTTCATAGAGCATGGCTAGTCTTTTGAATTATTAATCCTGGAAGTAACGTCACGAACAACCTGCGTTATGCGAATATGGCTGTGGGGTAGCTCCACTTTATTCTTGTTTATCATGTCAGTTTTCACATTCTTTGCGAAACTGTTGGCCTGACGTCATGCGATATAATCGCATAACAGGAATCTAGTTGGTCTGGCGAAACGCATGCACTTTAATTCGCGTAAACACCAGAAACGTACAGGGTGCAACTGGAACTAAAGTGCTGTCGTTATTGCGAATGGAAAGCGTATTAATGGGTGGGCTTCGTCTGTCACTAAAGCAACGATATTTGGTCCTGCTGTGTTTTGCTGTCGGAGCGATAATCGTGTATCAGGTCACGAGGTAAGGCAAACTCTTCAACAGCTGACACGAGACAGAGGGAAGTAATATTTTAACCAGTAATAAGAGGCACGCATATTAATGCATTCCTGGATGAAAACCGCGCCCACTAACACCTCAAATGTAAAAGTTGTGGCCAAGCTTCTCCATGGCTGCTGCACTATGCTTGAGTGTGTTTGCTTGGTTATTTGTACCACTTGTATTCAAAAATTCTGACTCAGCTCTTTAAAAAATCAACCAAGTTGCCTGTGAACTCTCACCTGCAGGCGTGTGGACATTGAAGGTGACAACACATAACAAGTTACCTGTGCTAGACTTCAGTTTGTCCTGTTTTGACGTCAGATCACCCTGTGAGTCTCTATGCAAATCTTTTCTATTGCTGATTTGTGTACATAGAAATGGAGGAGAGAGCTCTCTGTAACACGATAAGTTAAATCGTGGTCAAAATCAAATGTCTTGAGGATAATCGGCCATAACTGAACCTTGCAAGGTAACCAAGAAAGCCTTCCTTATTCCCAGGTTGTGCCTCTTCTGTTGCGAGTATATTCAAATGCAGTGATAACAGTTTTCTGAACAGGTGAAACTGGGTTTAGATGTTTTGCTCAAGGGAATATTTGTTCTCAAGCTATAGCTTCTCATAATACCATAGAAATATGTCTTCCTGGCCTTCGATCCAGTTGCACAAGTTTATTTTCCAGTTGTGAACAGTACTTTGCCCCCGTAGGAATCGCCTTGAAGGGAGAAGAATGAGCCGTGTGGAAGGTCTGAGGGCCAACTCATCTGAGTTCACTCTGGAGGGAGAACCCTTCCGCATCCTGGGGGGCTCCATCCATTACTTCCGTGTCCCGAGAGCCTACTGGGAGGACCGACTGCTGAAGATGAAGGCCTGTGGCCTCAACACTCTCACCACGTAGGCTCCCACTGCAACACGGCTGGATGAATACACTTTACCTTATAACACCAGAATGAACCGTGTCAGATAGACTTTTACAAGAATAAAATGCAGTCTTGAAATCACCATTAAAATACTAACAGCACACACAACATCTGTTTTTTTTTTTAAATTCTCTTTTCAGGTATGTGCCGTGGAACCTGCATGAGCCTGAGCGAGGGGTGTTCAACTTTGAGGACCAGCTGGATTTAGAGTAAGGAACGACGAAGGGAGGACTTCTGAGACTCCTGCAGATGGCACTGTTACATTGCAGAACAGCTTTCAATACGTTGATGCTGCTGAGAGGGTCTACGTTCACCCTTAAGAAATGTTTTTGATTAATTAGTCGTGCACTCGATCAGTATCAGTGCTCCTTGATTCATTGATCAGATGGCCGTTGATCCATCAAATGTGCGGCTTGCTGTTAAGTCCAGTGCTGGAGGCAGATGTCACCTCCAAACAGAAAGATTCGATCTGGAAATGAAAGAAATCAATTGAGCGGAATATGTTGGAATGACATATCATTTGCAATTGAACGTCTGCTTTAATTGAGAATTACTTTCAGTCCCCACTTATTATCTGCAGTGGTAAACTTTTCAAATTGACTGTATTGATGGTAAATAGACCTCATTGACGGCACCTTTTGTATCTTTCTCCTAGAGCTTACCTCCGCCTAGCAGGCAGCTTGGGCCTCTGGGTCATTCTGCGTCCAGGGCCGTACATCTGTGCTGAGTGGGATTTAGGGGGACTACCCAGGTAAACGTCACAGTCAAGTGTCTCCTTCGCAGATATTTTGTTTATGCGTTACAGCCACAGTCACATTGTAAAGCTTTATTTTGGAATAGCCAGTGGGGTACTAAGTTAATCCCTTAAATTGGCTTGGACATGAATTGTTCTGTCAGGTAATCTTTTTTGTAAGCGTTATCTTTGCTGCAGGCTGAATCAATTAAACTGGTGGAAATAATTTGGTTATGTGAAGTATTTCAAGTGTGCCGTCTCTGTCACCTATTTGCCAGTCTCCCCAGATGTGTTGCTGTGCAACAAAGAATTTGTCTTGGTGAGAATGGTCCACCTCACAGTGTTGTACACAAGATACAGAGACAGGGCATTATGCACTATGCAAGTAACCTCTAATGTTACTCAGATGAAAGTCACCAATGATTTACCAGACTTTTAGTGAGGTATTGGAGAGAACAGTAATTAAATATGACAGGCATAGCTCCCTGAAAGGATGAATTAATAATTTACTTCTGTAATCACAATAGATGTGTGCAGATAATGCGGTGAATGTGAGGGGAAGAGACTGGAAGTAGGTATTTATGGAGTCGTTTTGCCTTTGGGGAATGTGAGGTAATATTTATTTGATAATCATCAAAACAGAGTGTTTCTAGGGGCACGCAGTGAAGCATGACTTCCTCTGCACTTCACTTTACGATAGTCATGCTCAGGTTGGTGAGATTATCGTCGAGAGCAAAAAAAAAAACCTGAAGAGAGCCCACTGCACAGCACTCTGAGGAACTCCTGTGATGCGTTGCTTTTTTGGACACTTTAAAGGTTTTGTTTGTGATTTCTTTTCAGTTGGCTGCTGCGGGATCACAACATGAAACTAAGAACAACCTACCCAAGATTCACTGATGCAGTCAACTCCTTCTTTCATCAACTCATTAAGAAAGTTGTTCCACATCAGGTACTTTTCCATTTTAGCACAAATAAAAATGTAAAGAAAAATTGATTGATGTATACACATTAGTGTTTCTTTAGAAAAAGTATACAATATTTAATGTTTTCATGGTTTACAAATCCTTGTATTCACGGTCATATTTTACCCCAGCATGCAATATTTCTATTACCACCTAAAAAAAGTGCATTAACTAGCTGCTGTTGTCCATTATGTTAACCATTGATAGCAATAAACACACAAATTAAATAAAAGCCATATTTTCTTTTTATCAGCTCCACGCATCATTGAACAAACCGTTGATTTCCATTGCACAGTGCCTTTAACATTCAGCTTTAGAGGGTAGGAATGGTCAAGAACTGATGCCAGGCCCTAATGTGTGTCCTCTATTCGCATAATCAATGTGCAGTATTCCGAGGGTGGCCCAATCATCGCAGTTCAAGTGGAGAATGAGTATGGCTCCTATGCTAAAGATGGAGAGTACATGCCTTTCATCAAGGAGGTAGGAAACAAATTTGTACATCATTTTAACAATAATTGGTAGCTCATAGATGAGAGTGGACTTATTGACTTTTTCCTCACAGCTGTCCTTTTTCAATTGCTTATATTTCAGAAAGAGCCCCCACTTTTTTGTTTATTTGCCTCCGTAATCCTCCATCTTTCCAGGCGTTATTGTCCAGGGCCATCACAGAGCTGCTGCTGACTTCAGACAACAAGGAAGGACTAAAGCGTGGAGGAGTGAAAGGAGGTATTGTCAAGCGCTGACAGACAAACAAGACTATGCATACACACACACACACACATATACAGTATGGCGGTTGGTGTGTTGTGTTTTTCGCACAATGACGAGGGGGTCTGAGCCAAAGGGGGGCATGGTGTCAGGCAGCTGCAGTTCTGAACTCCACACAAAGGATTCTGTCTTGTACCAGAAAATTGTTCTTTTTGCAACAACACTGGCATAAACATCGTGATGCTGTAATGTAAGTATTTTGTTTGACACATATGCTATTTTAATGCACACCTTCATTAGCAATTATTGTTTTTAAGCCTTCATAGCCTTCACTGAGATGAAGAGTATTTCTGTTTTTAATTATCATTGCAAACATACATTGTTGTCGCCATCATCATAATTGGAGGAGAACTCTCTAGAGTGTTGTTATAATAAACCCTCCTCTGGGTATTGTTTTATAAAGTGTGCATATACATGTCATGGTGAACAGTTGAAGTTTGATGCCTCGTTGCCTGATTTTTCATGCAGAAGCTTGCATTAACTTTATGATTTGAAGAGAATTTAGTTTTGTATGGACTTTGAGGTGCCATGCTGAACTGCTAATACTTCTTTAAAGACAACAAAAGCAGCATGTGAGGATTTAAGTACAACTGAAATCAATAATCATTCCATAAAGCTCTTTCTAAAGGATGTTTGGTATTTATTTGAACTGATGTTCTACATCTTTTATAGTTTGTATTTGCTTGAACAATATTGCTCTACCTTTTTTGTGTGTCTGAAGCACTAGAAACCATCAATTTCCAGAAACTGAACCCGAATGACATCAAGTATCTGGATGGAATACAAGTGAGTCTTATTTTTATGTTGGGTTTTCATTGTTCATTATGATTGTTCATTATTGTTCATTGTCCATGTTTTTGGACTCAGTTATTGCTAGTTTTCTGATCTAATCAAAGATCAAACTAAACATCAAACGGACACATCATTAGCAACCCTTCCTCTTCCCAATAAATAGACTGTCCAGGTAATTCCCAGTGAAACATTGGACCTTTTAAAAGAATGGAGACCTGAAAGAATATCTTTAAGACAATTTATTAAAGGTTTGTGCAAGTGCAAATAGGTAGTTACTGAAAGAAATTTACCTTTTTTTCCCTCTCCCAGCCTCACAAACCGAAGATGGTGATGGAGTACTGGTCTGGCTGGTTCGATCTTTGGGGGGACCTTCATCACGTGTACACAGCTGAGGGTAAGACAGACTCAGGGTGCGTAGACAGGATTTCTTTAGAGAGAGCGATAGCACCAAAACAGGTGTTTATGTGAGAGTAAGACAGGGTTCCCGCTGAGGGATTCTTTGTTGAGGATGAAACGATTTCTTTCTGTACAGTAGGTCGATAATACTGGCTAATTTGAGATGGAGGTATAGAACCTCTGAAGGTAAAACAGACTCAGAGTCTCAGTGCCTTAGGGTAAGAAAGGCTTAAGACAACCCCTTTTTTTTTTTCTCGCTGAGAATAAAACAGTCTCTGTGCCAGGGGAAACTAAGACAGGGTGTGGACAAGCTCTCTGCTTTAGAGGTTGTTTAAGATAAATTCTCCAGACTGAGTGTAAGAAAGTCCCTCTAACATGCTGGTTCCTTCACAACAGGCACAGAGCCCACTCAGTGCAGCTGGGATGTACAGCTTAGCATATGGCCATTTCCTCCTTGTTTTGCGGCTTTGTCAGAGATTTATAGACTTTTCATGCATGGTCTGTTGTGAGCCAAGTATCACAAACCAGAGTCCGTGCTCCACCCTCTCGAACTTTGAGAGGGTGGAGAGAGGGTTGCCCTTGGTTGCATTAAACAAGGTTTCAGTTGTCGGGAACACATCATTGCGTACTTTCCTATTAATTAGATGCTGCAATGTCCTATAAGTAGGGCTGGATTATCATTTAATATAATATTTTATTGTCTTTCAATGGAATGATATATTGCGAGATCATGATAAACACTTTTGTGTCGTCGTTTTGTGTTTTTCTTTTCCAATTTGAGTTGAACCTGAACATAAGACATGACAATAATGTGAGATCTAGGACAAAATTATGTTTACTCACCAAATGTATTGTGTGTATCATCATGGCCTAACAAAGGTGTTGAACACAATGTTCTTCCTCATAAAACATTCACGGAGCATCTTTTTGGAAGAATTTGAAATCTTCTCAGTTTACATTCCTGACTGCGTGCTGTCAGTCTTCCTCTTCTTGTTGGTGCATTGCTACATTTCTTGGCTCCTAATTGCATCAACTGTCGATTATTGGAATAGTGTGAAACCATTGGCAGGACTGTGTATCATGTCACTCGTGCAGTTGAGGAAGGATTCATATCCTTTAATTAACTAAAAGGGATGAAATAACAATGTAGAAATCTTACGTAAGTTAAAATTCAAAGGCATTTCAACTTAAAGTTGTAAAAGCAAAAGTACTGAAAGCCCATTTCGTAGTGGCATATACTGTGAAATGAAAGTATGAAACTTAATTTCAGAATATACTGAATATAATATTGCAGAATAAAAAAATCATTCTGCATTGGAAACAGGCCTGAATATTTGTATCACGTTTTGAGAAAAAAAGGGGCATCGACTAAAAAGACTTGAGGAGATTTTGAAGGAAACAAATGTAATAATTTTGTAATTAGTAAACTAGCTTCAATAGATTTAATGTCGTGAAAAGTCTAATATTTCTATCTGATGTGTAGTGGAGTAGAAGTATAAAATAGTCTTGTACAGTTCCACATGCATAATGCATCTTTGTGCATGTGCTAACAAAAGGGGGACCCACTCTGAAAAAAACATTCCTCCATAGTGCCACTAGTCAAAAACTTTTTTACAAAGATGTAGTTTAACTTACTCTGTCAGAACATTTCAGTAGGTCTCTCCCACATACCAGGAGACCGCAGCCAGGCGAGTGGTCTTTGGTGTAATACACAGGGGTGACGTACATGTTTCACATTTGTAAAGACTAATGCTATCACCATATTGAGTGCTCTCAGAAACCTTTCATTTTAAATACACAGTGCAGAGCCTCAAGCTTCCATTTTACTCTCTGTCATTCCCAGCAGCCATCCACATCTTAACAAAAAATGAAAGGCTTCCTTATGTAGTTCCTCCTCGGTGAAAAGGGGATATGGGTGGCGGGACCCTTGCCATGCAGAAAGTGTCACAGCTGTGAAATGAACGCTGGGGCATTCAGAGGGGATTCATGTCCTTGACAGTTCATTACTCTACTGACTGCTACACACCCAGCAGTTGGTCACAGCTAGAGCCGCCGCCATGAAACCAACCGAGTTCGGCTCTGTCACTCAACCTGCTCCATTGTTATTCACTAAGGCTCATGCCCTTGATTCAAATCATGAATCCATCCATCCATTTTCCTCCGCTTATCCGGGGTCGGGTCGCGGTGGCAACAGGCCAAGCAGGCTGACCCAGACTTCCCTCTCACCGGCAACATGTTCCAGCTCATTCTGGGGGATCCCAAGGCGTTCCCAGGCCATCTGGGAGATGTAATCCCTCCAGCGTGTTCTGGGTCTTCCCCGGGGTCTCTTCCCAGTTGGACGTGCCTGGAAAACCTCCAATGGGAGGCGTCCAGGAGGCATCCTAATTAGATGCCCGAACCACCTCAGCTGACTCCTTTCGACGCGAAGGAGTAGCGGCTCAACTCCAAGCTCCCTCCTGATGACTGAGCTCCTTACCCTATCTCTAAGGCTGAGCCCGGCCACCCTACGGAGGAAGCTCATTTTGGCCACTTGTAGCCGCGACCTTGTCCTTTCGGTCACGACCCAGAGTTCGTGACCATAGGTGAGGGTAGGAACGTAGACCGAGTGGTAAATTGAGAGCTTTGCCTTCCGGCTCAGCTCCCTCTTCACCAAGACGGTCCGGTGCAGCGCCTGCTTTACTGCTGCAGCCGCACCGATCCGTCTGTCGATCTCCCGCTCCATCTTACCATCACTTGTGAACAAGACCCCGAGATACTTGAACTCCTTCGCTTGAGGTAGGCACTCTGTCCCCACCTGGAGGGAGCAATCCACCGGTTTCCGGCAGAGCACCATGGCCTCAGATTTGGAGGTGCTAACTCTCATCCCCGCCGCTTCACACTCGGCTGCAAACTGCCCGTGAAAGTCACGAACAGGATCGGAGACAAAGGGCAGCCCTGGTGGAGGCCAACACCCACCGGGAACGTGTCTGACTTATTGCCGAGAATGCGGACACAGCTCCTACTGCAGTCGTACAGAGACCGGATCGCCCGTTGTAATGGGTCCGGCACCCCATACTCCCGCAGCACCCCCCACAAGAACCCCCGAGGGACCCGGTCGAAAGCCTTCTCCAGGTCCACAAAGCACATGTAGACTGGTTGGGCGAACTCCCAGAACCCCTCCAGTAGTCTTGCGAGAGTAATGAGCTGGTCCACTGTTCCACGGCCGGGACGGAATCCGCATTGCTCCTCTTGAATCTGAGGTTCGACAAACGGTCGGAGCCTCCTTTCCAGCACCCTGGCATAAGCCTTCCCCGGGAGGCTGAGTAGTGTGATACCCTGGTAATTCGAGCACACTCTCCGGTCCTCTCCGAGTTCCTCAAAGTGCTCTTTCCACCACCCGACGATGTCCCCTGTCCGGGTCAGCAGTTTCCCCCCCCCCCCCTGCTGAGAACAGCCTGGGGTAAGCCCTGCTTTCCCTTCCTGAGCCGTCGGATGGTTTGCCAGAACCTCCTTGAGGCCAACCGAAAGTCCTTCTCCATGGCCTCCCCGAACTCCTCCCATGCCCGAGTTTTAGCATTCGCGACCGCTGCAGCCCTTCTGGCCTGCCGGTACCTGTCAGCTGCTTCGGGAGACCCCTGGGCCAACCAGGCCTTGAAGGTCTCCTTCTTCAGCTTGACGGCTTCCCTCACCTCTGGTGTCCACCACCGGGTTCTCGGGTTGCCTCCACGACAGGCACCGATGACCTTCCGGCCACAGCTCCTAGCGGCCGCGTCCACAATAGAGGCTTTGAACATGGTCCATTCGGATTCCATGTCCCCAACCTCCCTCGGGATGTGTGAGAAGTTCTTCCGGAGGTGGGAGTTAAAGACCTCCTGGACAGGGTTTTCCCAGTTCACCCTCACTACACGTTTGGGCTTGCCGGGTCTTTCCAACCGGTTCCCCTGCCATCTGATCCAACTCACCACCAGGTGGTGATCAGTTGACAACTCTGCTCCTCTCTTCACCCGAGTGTCCAAGACATACGGCCGCAAAATCAAATGATACGATTACAAAGTCGATCATTGATCTCCGGCCTAAGGTGTTCTGGTACCAGGTACACTTATGAGCCACCTTATGTTCGAACATGGTGTTCGTTATGGCCAAACCGTGGCAAGCACAGAAGTCCAATAACGAGACACCATTCGGGTTCAGATCGGGCAAGCCGTTCCTCCCAATCACCCCCCGCCAGGTTTCTCCGTCATTGCCCACGTGAGCGTTGAAGTCCCCCAGGAGAACTATGGAGTCGGTAGGTAGCGCCCTTTCCAGGACCCCTCCCACCTCCCGCCTGACCTGCCGCCTGGTCTGCATTGCACCCGACCCCGATGCTTGTCCCTGCGGGTGGTGGGTCCACAGGGTGGCTGCTCCATGCTGTTTATTCGGGCTGAGCCCGACCGGGCCCCATGGGCGAAGGCCCGGCCACCAGACACTCCCCGACGAGCTCCCCTCCTGGGTCTGGCTTCGGGAGGGTGCCCCGGTTTCCCTGGTCTGGGCGAGGTTGCTAAAGTCCGTGGGCTGCTTATCATTAGGTTCGTTTGAACCGCTCTTAGTCTGGGCTCTCCCCCGAGACCTGTTTGCCTTGGGAGAACCTACCAGGGGCTAATGCCCCGGACAACATGGCTCCCAGGATCACTGAGCCACTCAAACTCCTCCACCACGTTAAGGTGGTGATTCGCGGAGGAGAAATCATTAACGTCAGTCCAATTTGACTACTAAGGTCCAATTGGAATGCTTAATTACTTGCCCTGCTATGTTCGCTGCAAAATATAGGTTGCTAATTAGTGCAGGGAGGTGGGCAATTTTTTATGGTCGTGAGCATTGCCCCGTAATGAATTTTAGTAACCTGTAATTGGATGTGAGGCGGAGGTCTGTCTGTGTTTCAATTGAAGTGGAATTGAGGGCAACAGGATTATTGAGACAGTGGCTTGTTAAATCAAATGGATTTTTTGGATCTTAATGTTTAGCTTTATTTGTTATTCTCAGATTTACTCACTGGTTATATCAGAACAATTAGGATAAATTGTAGACTTTATGTGGGATTTGTTTATGTCACTCTTTTGACAGACATGATGCCTGTGGTCACGGAGATCCTTAAACTAGACATGTCCATCAACCTCTACATGTTCCACGGAGGGACGAATTTTGGCTTCATGAGCGGAGCGTTTGCCGTTGGAATGCCGGCACCTAAACCCATGGTGACAAGCTATGGTACGTATAATGAATATGTTTGTGACCAGCATTTTATGACACTTGAAGGAAAAAAATCCTCATACAGGGTTGATTGGTCAGGGTTGAACTGGGTTCATGCCACAAGGATTCAATACAAAGCTGCATTTTAATAGCCAGACACATTCACAATTACTTACACTTTAATTGTGTCTGAGTGGGACCACTAATTCTGCACCAATGTAGGCTGAAAGAAATCTCTAACGAGTGCACTTAATCATCAAACAATAACCTTCTTTTTGAAATACCGTCAGTAAGTACAGTCTGAGCCAATTTTGAATAAGAGATGTAGACTAAAAAGAACATGATTAGGATTTTTGAAATGTCTGTAGATGGCGCTATCCCTACTCCTGAGCCTCTGACCTTCGGCTGGTTTAAAATTTGAATATGCAGTGCACATTAATGAATTAATTACCTAATAAAATGCACGTGAGATGTAAATTAAAGATGGTACAATGGGTTTTATATTCTCCTCTAGGGTACTTAACAATGTAATGACCTCGTTCTTGAGAAAAGAGGAGAATTCTGAAAACCGCTCCCCAGTAGGGAAGACCACCTCTGACCTTCAGCAGCCGTCGTACCTGTGTTTACTCCTCTGAATGCCTTTTACCTTTTTGCCTCAAGAAGGCTCACGATAACCTAAAATGTGTTTCGGCCCGCCGCTGTCTCGAGATGTTTGATAGGGGAGCACACTGAAAGCATCTGCCACGGTAAGAGGCATCCCTGCTTCTCTCCGGCTCCTGAGTCTGCTGTTCTGATAGCGCATTATCTTTCAGATTACGATGCTCCATTATCTGAGGCTGGGGATTACACCACCAAGTACCATCTTCTGAGGAATGTATTCAGCCGCTACCACGGTGAGTGTTGTGTGTTGTTGCTGAGTCGGGCCCCACATCTTCTGTTTCTCTTTCTCTCCCTCTCCTTTCATCTCCCCACTTAAGTTAATTCTCCTTGTAGAACCTGCTCTCTGTTGGCTAAACCAGGATAACTTTGCATATGATTACAAGCACGGATTAGATAGGGGTTTGTGCATGTGTGTGAGATTTCTGCCCAAGTCAAAGACCCTCAATTACTGCCCATTGTGAAAATGACATACTTGGCCTTTTACCATGTTTATTGCTGATGCCGTTTTCTCTCTTTGTAAAACAAGGGTTTGTGGTTGGGGCCAGAAGTCTCGAGTGTTTTGTGACCGAGACCGAAAATGTAGCTTTTGGCAATCTGGGATTGAATCCAGCCCAACAAAGTAATAATTTGCCCAGGTGATTGAAGATAGTTTGTAAGGCTGCCTATGCATGATTCATCCTTATGTTTTGTTGTTTGCTGAACAATGAGCAGTGGCCTGGATATGAGAGTGAGTCTGAGGAGGCTTTTTGTTCTGCTCAACAACTACAAACACATGACCCAATTCTTTAATTAGATCATTCTGATATTTTATCACTGTTTGGTTGTCAAATCATGTACGTTGTGTCAGTTACTCTTTACCCTGTAGTTTGTTTTTGTATAACCTGGCATGGATTCAGGCTTATATGTCAAAAGTCGAACACTGATCTGTTACAACACCATGGCTCCTAAGATAGACCTGTGACATAAATGCTTTGGGGCTTTCAAAAATTGCAATAATACAGTATATAATCTTAAACAAGCTGCTCATTCATCTGCAATACATAGTCTGTGTGAGCACAATATGTCAGATCACTATTGATGATACTACTTTATGATTTGAGGTATTCCCAGATCAGTGCCAGTGCCTCCTTTTCAATGATGGAGTAATTTAACTGGTGTGAGTTGAACTTCTTAGAAATCCAGATCTGTGACGTAGCTTCATAGACATAAACACTAATTCTTCCCCTCTTAGATTTAAAAAAATGATTCACACTAACACTGGCGTGCGAGCGTCGCAGAGAGCCATTTTGGAGAAAGGTGTCGGCCGTTATCCTCGCTTTTCTTAATTGATCCAGCTGTTACCGCTTGGCGATAAGGAAATGCTGTCAAGCCTTTTCCGGAGGGACCGCTGGTGTCTCTGCATGCTTTAACACCTTTACAAGCAGGGGGTGGGCATGGGGAACCACTGTTAACTGCAGCACAAACTGGATGCTGCTGTGGTGGGTAAATGGCTCACCCGGGGAGCCTTCTAAGAAGTTTCCATGGTCACCTTTATGATTGATATTGAGTGATTCATTGGCTTTAGAGTAGGAAGACTCCTGCAAGAGAAGGCAGAATGGAACAACATGCTGTGCTTAAAAAGCCCAGGAGAAGGCCCAATAGTTTTTGTGTGTTTTAGTGAATTGTTCTGCTGGTTAAACCTGAATTACGCTGGCCAAGAGTTAGTAAATCATCCTACCTTTTCTATGTACTAGCTGTGCAACATGGTTTATGATTATTTTCATTCCATCTCTTTTATTTATCAGGTGGTCATAATATGTAGATGCAAAAGGTTTACCTTGGCAAGTTTTAGGAGATTTCTTCAAAGACCAGGAATATCCATTATTTACTCCCTTCTCTGACTGAGTGTGGGCAGTGTATGCATCATGTTGTAATAATCCCCCGGGAAAATAGAGGATGAAAGAAATGTTAATGAGTGAATGTACAGACAGACAAACTGCATCCTAGCCTCATTTTCCCTGCTTGTTTTTCAGCCCAGCCTCTCCCTGAACTGCCCTCTCATCAGGAGAGGAGAGCGTACCAGCCTGTTGTCATCCAGCAACACCTGTCTCTGTGGGACAGTCTGCATTTCACTGACAAGGTAAGCTACAGATGCACAGAGAGTGCCAACATAGGAGGCACAGAAATAATAAACATCACCCATGTAGCATTGCTCAAAACCGAGTCAGAAGGTTGCAATCAGTCAGACAACAGTCATCCATGAAATATTTAATGTATAAGTAATACACAAAAGCCAATCCAATGAACTCAAAGAGAATTTGCTGTCAATTATGTGGATGTGCTGCCTGCTGTGGTGTGTTTACTTCTTTAAAAATGTATTCTAGCCTTGCATAGCGCATGAGAAGTGTGATTCCCTCAGACTGTCCTAGCCCCATGACGGGTGTATTCACAGTACCTACACTTACAGAAGCACAAGCTCCTTATCACACCTGTTATCACACCAGTACTTATTATTATTATTATTATTATTTGTTAGTAGCTTTGCTAGCCATATTTTAGAGTCAATCAACATTAGCAAACAATACAAACAACCGCAAATTTATGTTACAATAACATAAATGATCATTGCATTGGATGTATCTTCCAGCAATGTTTGAATGTATCTCTATAGAGTTGAGTGGATTTTGAATAGTATGCTTCAATAAAACATTCATCATATGTGAAGTAAGTTTTATATTCTTTGCCCATATTTTATTTGGTCTGGTACAATATACAGTAGTATATGTTCCTCTCACACATAAACCAAACCCCATACAGAATCATTTGATTTCTTGATTTAAAGAAAATGAACAGTCTAATCTGAAGCTCTGAAAATCACAAGGTAAGGTGCAGACGTGGCTGTGGTAATCTGAAAGTGATAGAAGTGAGCTTGCAGCTAGTCCACCACACAGCTGGATCTATTGAGGAAGGACGAGAAGTGAAATGAGTAGCACTCCTCCCTTAATAAACACCTGCAGATGAGGTGCCCCTGACATTCTCTCCTAACTGCACTAGTGGCCTCCTCGGGGACCAGCAGTAACCAACTGTGTGCAGCTTTGTGACTGCAAAGCAGGTTGTTGTGAAACTATAACACGAATGCAGCAGAACATTTCCTTTTGCCAAAAGATTGGTTAAAAGCCTGTTTGGAGGCTGTCATCATGTCTGCTCGCTTTCATGACCACCAGTTTAGTTTAGCCATTTACACCATGCTCTTCAGGGGCATTAAAATTCAAACCAGATGTAGCACGTCTGGCAGTAGCTTACCACATTCATCATTCACTCCCCGTCGCAATAATTTGCTTCCCTCTGAGACGACAATTACTTTGCCCCTGACCAACCACACACCCTTGTTCAAAGAGAGCGTTTTCTCTACAGAGGCTTTTAGAGTGACTGAGTGGGACGTCTGAGTTTGATATTGTATCTGTGTGTCTGCAAGTACGTGGTTAATCGTGTCATAGCAGCGAGTGTTTATTGTCTCGTGGAGAGTGCATAATGCACCTCCCCAAGGGTATGCAAAAGAATGCTGCTGAATGAAAGAATTGCTCTGAACGCCAGACAGGAAAGCTTCATTAGGTTTGATAAATCATCACTTTGGTTGAAGCCATCTTGCGAGTGGGAGATCCCATCTGCATGGAGAGTGGCTTCGAGATTGTGTGTTCACTTTAAATAAAGCACAATTCATGTGACAACAAAAAAAATAAAGATCTTTAAAAACATGAATTTCTGCAGCACATTTAGACGCCTGGGTTTAAAAGGTAACAAAACTTGTGTCGTCTTTTTTTTTTTTTAGCCTTTCAAGTCAGAGAGGCCGGTGAACATGGAGAATCTCCCTGTCAACAACAACAATGGTCAGTCTTACGGGTACACGCTGTATGAGACGACCATCACCAGCGAGGGAACCCTCAACTCAAAGAACAACATCAGAGACAGAGCTCTGGTAAGAACAGGAAGACGGGCATCAACACAATCCGCAAACCACACATTTACACTTTTCTTTGTGAGAAGGTTTGCAAGTAACAACTTGTTATCTGAAATCACAGCCCTGATCAGTGTACTTGTGGAGTACAATTAACAAGCTCAGGCTGCTACCAGTTGCTCTGGTGTTAAAGACATGTCACACAGTCGTTGGAGCCTTGAGTTCTAAAAGTTTCTCTTTAGTGAAGGAGAAGAGAAGTGTAATGTCAGGACAAGTGCATTACTGCTTCATGTTGAGGACGGGTGTTACGATTAACTGGGGAGTTTGGTGCTCCTGCTGAGCCTTTTTCTTATTGTATGTATCTTGATGTGTGATCACATTAGCAACACTAATAGTAAGAATGGTAACTGATTTGGCGTACTTTTATTTTTCAAAATATCTGCTTACATTTTTTTCACGTTTCCTTTTCTTCCTAGGTTTTTGTCGGCAAATATTTTATTGGTGTTCTGGATTATACAACGCAAGAACTCGCACTCCCGGATGGGAAGGTACCGTGTGTGTGTGTGTGTGTGTGTGTGTGTGCGTGTGTGTGTGTATCCTTCTGTATGTAGTTACTGTAAGAGCTAGTCAACTGTAAGCTACTTTCAAAAGCATAACTTTGTTAATATTTAACAGCATGTGAAAGCTTCAGGGGATGCTGATAGATGTGTTTTGGCAGCAAGGACCCAGTATTAAGCCAACAGCAAACCTTCAAATGACTGTTTATCGCAAAACAAATTTCAATAGTCGACTTCAACCTTACAGAAAAGTGCTGACTCAGAGCGGCCTTGATCAATTACTAAAGCCAGAGCAGCTGAAAGGAATTTCAGCCTGCTTTTGTTTTTTTGTAATACTTTCCATCGAGGAATACTGCTGTATTTCAGTAATGCATCTCATGTTTTATGCATTTTTCCTCTGAAGGGAAAAAGAACTCTGAGTTTACTGGTGGAGAACTGTGGAAGAGTGAATTATGGGAACAGTCTGGATGAGCAGCGCAAAGGTACAAGTGTTCTTTAAACTGATGGCTTTGCAGATGTTCCAGTCAGCAAAAGTCCTGCTGATTGATCTTTTTCATTAGATACCTTGAAGGAAACTAATTAACAGCATCTTAACCCTTATGCAACACAAGGGATATTTTTGGCTTTTTAGTTTTTTGATCATTCTGGCTGTGTTGATGCAGATGGCGTGGAGTTTTTTTTTTTTTTTTTTTTTTTTTTGTTTGTTGTTGTATTGGGGTTTTTTTTTTTTTTTTTTTTTTTTGGAAGTTCTTTACTTTGGAAGTTTTTACTATTTTCCGCCAGATTGAGCCACGCTTTTTTCCTGGTTTCCCCAAGGTGTATTGCTGCTGTATTATGGAGCACTGCAGTGTTTGATGCAATGCATCAAAATCAATGTGTGAGATCAATGTGCAAGATCCATAAAAAAAAAAAAAAATCCAATTAAAGCAGCTTTCCCTCACCTTTCAGGTCTTGTTGGAGATATCGAGTTAAACAAGCGGCCCCTCCGTGACTTCATCATTCGTAGTCTGGACATGAAGCCAGGCTTTGTAAACAGGTTGGTGTCTTTCAGTTATTACCCAGTTTCCCTCCATGTTTGTGTTTCTCTGTCATTACGCCTGCCTGCTCCTGATTCAATCCAGCTGATTACCTCTCTGCTTAACACAATCACAGTGATGGCAAAATGCAGAAAACCATAACACAGCCATCCAATACAGCATGTCATGTTAAACATCTAAAATTATCAGCAGCGCAGTAGGTAGATCAGTTAAGATATGTACTCTTATCAATGTTCTAGAGCCTCAACATGAGAGGAAAACCTTCACCTTTTTGTCACTGACAGAGATAGTGTAGAACACTATCATGTACAGTATTAGCAGAATCCAAACTATGTTCGAAGTGGATACAACAATAAAAACACCTTGTGAAAGCGAGAGATAAAAATACGATTCATCCAAAGTTGCATTTTAGCGAGCAGCAAGTGTCTGACAGCTTAAATGTAAGATGTCAGACAGCCTAGAATTTATTTCAGTATTATGACAAACTTGCAGCATCAGCAAAGAAGAGCAGTAATTAAATGCTGAAGTAAAACACCAACATGGATAAGCCTTTAACGGGACAGTTATTCAATCGTACAATATATTTCCCAAAGAACTGACAAGACCATTGAGTCAACACCAAGACACCGACTAAATACAAATGTACCCAACCTTGTACAGTGCCATTGTAAACAAATGCTGTGCAATGACAAAAAGGGAAATGTGTGAGCGATTTGGAATCGGGGCAGGTTTAGATTTGCTGGATGACAAAGGTTGTCTTAAAAGTTAAATATCTTGCAAACTGTTTGACAAAATGGCGGATCTGTAATGTGGCACCCATCCCATAATAAATATTGATATATTCTCCACAACAACCAAGCATTATTTGGGTAATATTCCGTGTAACATTCCCGTATATTGATAATCACATGGAACATTAGTGTCATTAACACCAGCTTGAAGTCAAAAATCATCCACAACCCTTCGTAATCACAAAACCTTTGTTGATATCTAGAATTTCTAGGTGTTATCTTGTAATATTTACCCTCTGTATGCAGCTCATATTTGTTGCACAGATGATAAACATCAGGTTCAGCAGGATTGGCTAACCTTCTAGCTTATTTAGAGGTTCATATTTGCACTTAGTGGACTATTTACATATTTGTTCAAGTCATTGTGGGTCTCTCTTCATGTGCTGAAAAATTTGCAATCTCTTTTCCTCAGCGCTGTGTTGAAAATGTCAAGGCCTGAAGCCCTTTATGAATGAACACTAAAAAGGTATAACTGAGGAAGAATTTTTCTTCTATCATGGCAACCTTTGCGTTTACTTGGAGGCAAAATATAACCTATAACCAAAACAAAGATAGTGATTGGGAATATTGTCCAGAGTTTCCTTTGACATTTACTGTCGGCATATGAAGACGAATGACATGATGCACTGTGGACTGCTGGCCGAAGACCTACAAGTCCAGACTGCGTTTTTGAGAAAAGCTGCCACAGACTGTGTCTAAACAATACATTAGATACATCAAGGTTTGTGCTTTCATTCCATGAAATGTGCAGCGTTGTTGAAAGTGTAATCTGACCAAAATGAAAAGTGCAATGTGTTCTTCTTTTACAGTCTTGAGAGTTCAGGCCACTGGCTGTCTATGCGTCAGCGGCCCACATTCCCAGCTTTTTTCCAGGCCAGACTCTATGTGAACAGTTTGCCTAAAGACACCTTCATCAAGCTCCCTGTGAGTGGCCTGCAATCAGTACAGCAGCACGACAAACTACAGACTCCACAGACAATAACTCTTTGACAAAATCTGAACCGAAAATGGAAAATGTAGAAATAGATCGTCTTTGGCACAGGGCTGTATTTCTGGATTCAATTACAGTATATGTCTGGTGTTTGGGTTATTTTGCCCCACTCTCATAGATTCACAATGAAAGTTGAGACATTCTATAAATCAAATATAAATGTCAAGTTTTTTTCTCATCTGGATTAAACAGAAATCCAGCTGTCTAGACTTTCATAGATAATTCACATACTTCTAAACGCCGTGTTGTATAGTTTACCGCACATTGTTTTGGTAAGTTATTATTATTATTATTGAGCTTTGTCAAGGCAATTTTGATAGCGCCTGACTGACATTTTTCATACAGTTCCTGTCCAGCGAGCTGTCTTCAACACATAGACATGTGAATCTCTCCTTTGTTGACCTGATTGGAATTTCGACACCAGGAATTCGGATTCATTGTTCATTTATTCATATCTTTCATTTGATATTTTATTATGTACAGATGAGTGCTAGCTCACTTTTAATTTATTGGATATATTTGCATAATAATATTAGTGAGAAGGGAGAACATCTTAAAAGGCTCCTTACAGAAAAAGAGATTCTGATGATGATCCAATCTTTATGCTATACTGCATAATGCAGTTATTGATTGAATAAGTGCGTCTGTACCCTCCGGTTATACTGTACATCTCATTTCATTAGCTGAACCTGCTTGTTGTCAGGGTAAACCGTCACTGGTTGTGTTCACAGGGCTGGAACAAAGGTGTAGTGTTTATCAACGGCAAGAATCTGGGTCGCTATTGGTCCATCGGTCCTCAGCAAACTCTGTACGTCCCAGGCCCCTGGCTTCACAGGGGGAACAACCAGGTACAGTTCTTCTGTCCTTTATCAACAAGATACTTCTATCAAAGTCACTTTAGCACTAGTAATCTTTCACTAAGGCTATCCTCAGTCCCATATGTTTGTTATTAAACTAAATATATGAAAACAACTAACTACTAAACCCTTTATGTCATGTGTCATATTTGAAGCACTTTTCAGTTTTCACATACAACTCCTGAGCTGAGAGTTATACAGTATATCAAGTTTGTCACCCTTCAACCAGTTTCATAAAATCTTACATGATTGTGAGATATAACAATATAAATAAATATGCGTGGATCACCATGAAAAACGGTTGCCACATTTCTCCAGACGCTCTTGAAGTAGAAATACAATTTTGCCACACACCTTTCACGAACTTACATCTTAATTCCTTCACTGAAATATATTAATTTCTCAATAAATCAATTGCTCTGTCTAAAAGATGTTTGAAAATAAAGCCAAATACCCATCACTTGTTTGGTCTCACTAACAATACAGGCCCCAAAAATATTCAATTTACAATGATAGAGCAAAGCATCAAATCCTTGAGAAGCTTGAACAAGAAAATGTTAATCATTTGAGTATGTTATCAATGTTATGTTTTGACAACACAGTCATTTAAAGGACTGTGTGCAGATGTACACATTTAGCTATGTAGCTCCTTCAGTCACGTGCTCCTCACCTCCATTAATATGCCAAAGTTAAAGCACATGACAGGACCACAGTTACTGTATACAGCTACTGATATTCATCACCCTGCAGTATTTTTTTTCTTTTTTTTGTGCATTTGTGCTTTATTTTGATGGTGAGAGAAAGACAGGCAAGGCAGGGGAGAGAGGAGAAGACATGCTGAAAGGGCCCTGGACTGGACTCCAGCCCAGGACTCAAGGACTCAGCCTTAATAATATGCACGAGTGAACAACTGGGGCGCTTCTCTGTCACCTTGTAGTCTATGCTGTTGATGTCTGGAGCACTGTCTGGAAAAGGCCTTCGCTACATCTACTGCATCTCATGTGTTTCTTCTTCTTGGCTTTTGCAACTTTTCTGTTCTGATCATATATTTACCTTAGTGCTCAACCAACCGCTCTCGCTGTCCTTTCATGGCCTCAGCTAAACTATTTTTTTTGCTTTGTTTCAGGTTATAGTGTTTGAGGAGCAGGAAACTGATGGTAAGATTCAGTTCAGCAGCAGCCCTGACTACGGCATGACCGTTGATGTCCAGTGAGGAGGGGGTGAGCGTGGTTGATGGGAGTATTTGGTGAAGGGCACACGGCGATTGCCATGAGCTTCGTGTACCCGGGCACCAACGCTGTGCCGCCACCGGCAGCACTCAAAAGGGACACAACATGGCATCTGTCCTATGAGAAGACACCAACACAACAGTGATCCAGATTGGTCTTTATTTCAGTGACTATTTATTATGACATTCTATTGAATCCTTTTTGTTCCATTTAGCAATGGTATCATTAACTTGCATTCATATACTTCATAATTGTAGACCACAGGGCTGTCTGTTATTATATTAAAATGTTGTAAAATTCCTCCCACCGACTTTATAAAGTAGGCTTTGTAAAAATGCACTTGAATAAATGGGGTGGTTTAACCTCTGTGTCAGTAAGGCAGCTTGTGAACTGCTTTATTTGTCCTGCACAGCGAGAGCCTGTTTGATATAGAACTATAGAACTGGTTATTTTTCAAATGTACCTTCTTATGATATGCTGTGAACTCCTGCAGAGAAGTCAAGATCAAAAGCTGTCTTTGAAGAGTGTCTTTAAAAAACTCACCTGTTGTGTGTGGTGCTTACCAGCCTGCCATCACACTTATGTTCTTTAAGAAATGCTGCCACAGTGAAGCTGTGCTGTGTCATTTGAATGAATAAGCAGTGTGTTTTATGGCATTGTACAAGCTACATGTGGATAGGTAAGCCAGGGGCAGAAGTTTGATTTTGAAGGTGGGGGGGGACACAAGCACAAATCCTCAAAAGGGCTTTATTTTTTTAGATACCCGAGGTGGAACAAAGCTCATGGATAAACCTCTAAGGGTCTAAAATAATTAATATGGGGTTCATGACAAAACTTGACTCAACTAAGTGTCCCTCTCAATAATAGCTCAGTTGCATTTAACAGTCTGTTTGATTTGTTCAGCATGTGTACTATATTCAATTCAATTCAATTTGTTTTTGTACAGCCCAAAATCACAAATTACAAATTTGCCTCAGAGGGCTTTACAATATGTACACATTTGACATCCTCTTGTCCCAGGACCCTCACATCGGAACAGGAAAAACTCCCCCAAAAAACCCCTTTAATGGGGAGAAAAGAGGAAGAAACCTGTGGGAGAGCAATAGAGGAGGGATCCCTCTCTCAGGATGGACAGAAGTGCAATAGATGTCATGTGTAGAACAGGATAGTGAATTACAACACATTCAATGTAATTACAGCACATTCAATGTATGACAGAACCACGGCAGGAGGCAAGACCTGGTCCAGGTATAACCCGGATACACAGGAACCTGTGAGGCGAGAAAGCACAGAGACTCTAGTGAAGAAGCAGGTCAATAATGTGCATTAATGGTATCGGTAATATGAAATAGTAATGCGAGTAATAATAAAAGTGATATTAGCAGTTGGAGTCAGCAGGGCCATGGTAGGAGGAAGGACCAGGGTCCAGATGAAACCATGCTCCATGGAAACCTGTGAGGAGAGAAAGCACAAGGACTCCGGGGAAGAGACAAAATCAGTACTGTGCATTAATGGTATCGGTAATTGGGTTAATAATGAAGATCGTAGTCGGTGTCAGCAGGGCCATGGATGGTTGAAGGACCAGTGTCCAGATAAAACTGCGGTCATGGGAACCTGTGAGACGAGAAAGCACAAATACTCCGGGGAAGAAGTAAAGTTAGTAATAAGCAGATATTAGTTGTTACTAATAACATGTGAAGGACTGGACAGGTTTATACGAAACCACTGGTGAATTCATGAAAATATCATATCATCAGGTGTTTGAAACACCTTTAGAAGGCGACAACACCACGCAGTGTACAGACACAATACTCCAGCACAGGTGAGGTTCTTCTCAGTTATTTATTTCACTTGATTCAACTAACATCTTTCTCTGAGACAGAATTGCTGTGGCAAATAAACAACCTTAAAGAGTCACATGCATAAAATGTGAATCACATGAGGCTGGGGGATGACAATGGAGATGAGGAAAAAGAGAGGACTTGTGTGTATTGTGCCTTAGAGAAGCCCCTCACAGGGTAATGCTCATTTACTGACATTAAATACTGAATAACCTGCACTGTTACAGTTGATGCATCGATAGGTTGGTTCTAGTAGATCAATTATTTGTGAGCATTACATATTGCTTGATACGTCAGCTGTTGAAGTCAGAAAAATGCCAAATCAGATGTCTGACAACATTTGAACAACATCACTTTAAAGGTGAAGCCCTTTGATTTGTTCTGCTGCTTCAGGAAACATCACAGAGATCAACATCACATAATCTCATCCAAGCAATCAAACCGCATGCTGACCTGTACCGTCAAACCTGACGTTTGTTTGCTTGCATTTTGACAAGAGCAACGTAAGATAAGAGTTGAGTTTTGTTTGAAAGGTAAATTATATACAAGATACTCAATTTTAAGACAACCTGTAGTGTTCAAATTAAGTCTTTTAAACGCTGGTGTTTTTTTTTCCATTTTGGAATTTGTTTCAGCACTAAAAACAATTCAGGTGGATTCAGTTTGTTCGATTAAAAGTCCACAATGACCACTCAAGTACAACTTAGATCAACAGCAATGCTATAAAGAAGATGCGGTGTGTGTGTGTGTGTGTGTGTGTGTGTGTGTATGCCAGTGGGTAGCACAACCCCATTATTGATCTTTAAGATAATCTATGTGTACAATTTACTGTTTGTGCGCATGCTGTTTTTGTAGAGAGCAGTTGGAAAATACAGATTTAAGGGCAAACACTGCTATGATTCAAATGCACATCCTCACTTAAAATAAATACATGAATAAATATATTAAATTTGATTTTTAATAAATAATGGGAGGCAAGTTGAAGAGTAGAACAAATCCAAAGATAGTCTGTGTGATCTCCACGGACGGTCCCTGTGCAGTGTAATATCATGCAGTCAATGAAAACAGCCAGTCTGATGAGAAATATAATACAGCCATTGCCTAAATGTGTCTCTTATCATATTCTAAGAGAAATATGTAATAGGACGGTTTCCCCATCTGATGAGCCCGAGAGGCCGTAATGTCTTTGTAAGTTTTCATACTGCAGCGGTGTATTTTGGGTTGCGTGTGTTGAAGGGGCAGGGGGTGCACAGAGATAATCTGGCAACGATACAAAGGCTCAGTGTTTGAATTGTCTCCAGCTTCTTCTGCCGGGCAATGTTAGATAAGAACCACCACTGTGTTTTGCACTAGACGGATGATTTATCAAATCGAAGGGGAAATTCTATTATAAGAGGTGTAGAATAACTTTGTTACACTGTTAAGACACACAGCGCCATAGCTGCTGATGTCTATCGTTAGAGGTGCGGTGACTCTCTTCTGTGATCCAGTCAATGTACAACAGATGGATCGTAATACTAATAAAAACCATGAGACATCAATCCACAATACTGAAGATGGCGCGTCAACGCTGCTACCACATCATTAGCAAAAATAAGATTCATTTTTGTGCTTTTCTTCAGCCTGCTGTCATTTGAGAGTAGCGTGGATTCTCTCATTTCATACGTGGAAGCCAAAGTTTTTATAAAACACATTTATTTTGGGGCCATGCATCAATTATTTGAATCTATCCTTCATAACTTACACCAGCTGTTGGAAGGTGAGCTGTATTAAAAGTCAGCAGATGTAGCCTGAGCATCTGAATTGATATTTTAGGGAATTTTATCACCTTCACATCATAGTAGAGTGTATATTTAGAGAGGAGAGGGACTGACGAGCCGAGTGAAAATCATATTCTCGGGCTTTGATGCTTATTAATGGGTGGCTTGTGGACACACGAGCGTGCATAGACAAGGGAACATATTAGCTCTCTAAAATGACACACATTTTTCCCTGCACAGTCAAAAAATTACACTTTATGTGAAAGCTTACATGGCAATTAGGTCAACATTCGTGAGTCTACCGCGTAGCTGATTTGAGTCTATGCGTTATGAATGTGTCACAAACTGTTTGAGTTTCTATTACCAAATGAAATTGGTGGTGTGCTATTACTCTTTCCATGTGTTGAACCTAGTGTGAACCTGTGCCTTATCATGTGTCGTCAGGAATTCACCAGGGGGAAAAGAGAAGAGACTTTGTTTGTTTGTTTTTACATATAAATACAGGAAGTACAATGCTTTTGTCAAAATTTGTCACCAATCATCTGATTGTTCTCATTTTGAATTACTATTTACACAAACATTTTTTGTGTATTTCTTTTTTTAAGTGCTCGGTAGTGTCAGGATTTTGATGTCTCCGTGTACGTTTCAGCACCCAAGCACTACAAGGGGGTTCATTTTCAAACAGAAGTCTCTCTTCAAGTGTACGGGGGTGGCTTGAATGCATGAGTTATAATGAGACCATAAAATGAACAATGATAACCCAAGAGTAAATGCAGGTAAGAGTCAGTAGTATTGAACTAGCAAGTCAAGTGCTTGTGAAACACCCAAACTGATTAAATTAAATTAAAGCAAACATTGTTATAGTTATCAAAAGAACATTCCTTCCCTTGCTATGTTTGTGATTGCACAAAGGAAAATCCACAAAGGACATATTTGTCCTTGGAGTCGTGTTTTTTTTATCCCGGCTGATGATGTAGACGTCCTTAAATCCAAATTTCTCCTTTGAACCACGTGCAGATCCGGGCAATGTGTGTTTTATTTCCTTAGTGTTCTTGAGGTGAAGGATATTCTTTAACCTGCTTGTTTGGTTGACTCCGCTGGCTGTATGCTTGACATATTGTGCTGTCTCTTTAATCGGGTTGTCCTCAGCGGGCCGTTGTACCGTGAAGGTGCAGGTCACGTCTATCCACGCTGACCCTGTGAGGAGTCCTCTATGTTGTCTCCTCTGCACTTCAGCCGCATACCTGACGAATAACTTCCGCCTCTTACTAATCTGTGCTTTAATATGGTACATTTGTACTGTTTTGGTCCATATTTTAAAAATGTCAGATTCAGTCAAGAGGATTAAATCCCCCTTCAAAGGCCCCCATTTCCTTTTTTTTCTGATGATTAAGACATGAGCTCTGGTTGCACTTATCAAGAGACTCGCAGCTTTCTTCCTCCGCAGGTCCAGGGCCAACCACCTGCAACAGAACGGATTAAGATATGCTGAGAAAGCTCGCTAAACCTTAATTAAGTTAATTTAACCTGTTTATTTCATAGGTGGCATTTAATAATGGACACCAGCTGCTGTAATTGTGCCCTAACAGAAAGCAGAAAAAGATTATGAATGCACAATTTAATATGAAATATGAATAAACGACTGCTCTTCTGTAAGACCTGGTGAAAATGATCATCACATTTCCATTTTCCCTGCAATAGAAGCTATTTCAAAATAACACATTATTATTTACCTTGGTCTGAGGGGAAACAGTCAAATCTCCACATTGGGGTCTGTGAATCCCTTTTTCCCCTCGTTCACGAGGACAGGTTTCTCCGTTCTCGTGTGCCAAACAAGTATCTGGTGAGAAAAAACAAACACAAACAACAGCAACATTAGTACCATGCTGTTCCCTTAATGCACTCGTCGAGTCCGCTCTCCCTTTTTAGCTCCCTCTCTGCCTCATGTTCTTCAAAACAGTCGATTCTGGTTCTAGCTCTTACAGCACATGCACCGCCACAGGCGCTGTCTGTGTGTAAAGAGCTACTTGAGCGTGAACCCTGCATTAGAAGGGAGTGAAGAGGGACCAAATATGACACAGCCCTCTCAGCTTGGCCTGTGCAAAGTCCTCTCCTGCCCATAGGATAAAGGCTAACTTCAAATGACAGCCAACTGAAGACATTTTGACACAGCATATATATATATATATATATATACTGTATATATAAAGTATATATGGGCTCTTTTGCCTTTGCAGTAGCGCCACAGTTCTTTGCACAGTTCTTCTGCTATTGTGCCACTGAGCCTTCAGATTGGGTTCATTTGGACAAACATCCAGTAAAAAGGTGGCAATGGGAACAGGGGAGGAGAAAAAGAAGAGCCAAGCTCATTTTCCCTGCTCTTCACTGTGTTGGAACCCTCCTTACTTTCATCTCGCCATGGCAGCGGCCATGAATTATGCATAGGGCGTTTTTGAGGTGTGCCAGGAGCCCACTCCTACTTTGCTCAGGTGTAGGGGGAGGTTAATAGTCACTTGCATCGGAAGTGCTAGATTATAAGGAAGAGGGATGCCCATGCACAACGTTTTTCTTCCTCTTCCCTCCCCCGCCCTTCAGTCCGTCCCTGTGCTCATCTGTAATCAGTGTGACGCCCAACTCCAATTCCGTTCTCTCAGCCGTTCCCTGAATCCGCTCTTTTCATTTACCCGTCTGAAAGGCTGGGGGAGAGCAGGAGAAAAAGCTGGCTCAAAGTATCTCTCTCTCTTCCTTTCCCCTGTCTTTGCATGTGTGTGTGTGTTGTGTGTGTGTGTGTGTGTGTGTGTGTGTGTGTGTGTGTGGTTGTGTTGTGGATCCTGGCTAGCTAAAGCCCTCTGGCTGACTCCTCTTTGCCCAAAGAGAGGCTTAGTGATGTGACCCATGCAGACCAAGGGTCGTAAGCAGGGATGGTGGAGTGGGCATGGAAGAAAATGTTGCTGCTGCTGCTGCCCTCAAGCCTACTGAAATACATGTGTGTGTGTGTGTGTGTGTGTGTGTGTGTGTCTGTGTGTGTGTGTGTCTGTGTGTGTGTGTGTGTGTGCGGAAAAGTAATGTGGGCAATGTGAGAAGTATAATCAATGATATCCAACTTTTCAGCAACAGCTTTGCATTAATTTGCTCTCTGACCATCAGAAAATCATCATGTTTTCATAGATGTTTTTGTGAAGACATGCATGGATTTCTTGCCCTGTATATGTTGAAGAGGAAGATTGGGGAGGTCATGCAAACCAGTTGCCTCACAAGTTGATTCTTTTATTCCAGCTCCAAACGCTTTAAAGTTTGAGGCATCAATACGTCATGTGCCCTCGATTGGGGATCATTGAAAAGATATAAAATAAGTTATCCATGTCAGGAAAGTGCTGTGGTTCAATTACATTTGGTTGTCTTTGAAAGAAATAATTAAACACTTTAGGAAATGCGCTTATTTACTGTCTTGCAGAGTCTGAATATCAATACCACCATTCTTATATCTGTGTCCTAAACCCAAGCACAGACAGAAGCATGTTAGCTTTTATAGGTTTATTTCCATTTTCTTTCCTCTGAAACTGAATTAGTGGTAAACATATTTTACCACGATGGTTCAGCATGCAGGTTTAGCAAGAGCTCATGAAGGTTATGTCATTAGTATGCTACAGCAAGTGGTGGAAAGTAGGTATTGGCGTCTTCTGCTGCTTTTCACCTCTACTCTTTTACATTTCAAAGGGAAATATTGCTCTTTTTACTTAGCTGCATTTATTCTACAGCGGTACTTCTCAGATTAAGATTTTACAATCAAAAGAGATATAATAAGCCTATAAAATACAATGTATTAAAGATTGAACCAGTTGTTCCCAACCTGTTTGACTTGTGACCTCTTACAAAAAGCAGTCTTTCTATCCGTTGTTAGCACTTCCATTAAAGAATTTTCTCCCGAAACCTCTCAGATGGTCCAAAAGAGGTCAAATTCTTCAATATTTCACAAAAACAGTTAAGATTAGAGAAAAGTCCAACAACAGAAAACCGAGTTATGTATCAGAATTCAGTTTACTTTGTTTCTCCTTTTTTTACACTATTAAAATCTCACAACCACACAGATTATTAGAAAAAAGTAAATGCAGATTACACACTGATGCGTCAGTATTAATAAATACAGAATGAGTACTTTTACTCAAAATACTTAGATATATATATATTTTGTGTTTTTCCTTAAGTAGGATTTTTTTTTCTTAAACTTGTAATGGAGTACTTTTGCATTGATGTATTGGTACTTTTATTTAAGTAGAGGTTCTGAATACTTTTCCTTCAAAACCTTTTTACCATCCTCATGAACAGTTTAACTTTAACTGCTAACTGCTAAGTCAAGGTGCTTAACATCATCGAAAAAAGGGATTACCTTAGTGCAATTGGCTGCTTTAGGCTCCAGGTCGTTGAGTGTAACAAGTTCCCGGAGCAAACTGCTCTCCTGGTAGCCTCCCTTCACCCCGCGAAGCTTAAAATACGCCTGCGGCTTGAAGAGGATGAGCCTCAGGTTGATGGCAAAGCCGGCCATGTCGATGGCAAAGGGCCGATGGGGGTCGAACACCGTCTTCCAGCCGTAGACCTTTCCAGCTGCATTGACTTTGGGGGACTCGTACCGCAAGCCGCCCACAAAGGCCACAGGCCACACTGAAACCTTCCGAGTGGATCTCATCTATAGCGAGAGGAGAGTCGAGAGGAGGAAATGGAGGGGAGAAGAGAGCAAATTAGTCACGTGAAATCGCATACATGACAGCGAGACACGGCATTTGAGCATCAGCTGCCAGCTTTACAGCAGAGTGTGGACGGAGGGTCTTTAGAGCTGCAGCTATTATTCATTCTGAAAGACGGTGAATATTGACCACGCCATTGAGCACTGTGCAGCAGACACACTGCTAGATGAAGGCAGATCAAATGCATTGTTCAACAGCTGCCCTACACTGAGATAATTAGACACAACCATCTTTGAAGGAGCCAAGCCATTAGAGCAAGTGGCTCTAGTCGCTGATTGGCTGAGGAGGTTCTTTGCGGTCGAGCACTGCCATCCGCTTTTTGTTTTTGTCCTTTAATCTTCCAGCATCAAACGATCTTGCCACCCTTTTTTCTCAGTTAGCCTTTGCCATTCTAGAAGGTCCGGCTGCAGTCATAAAATGTAGGTTTTTACAGTGAGGGAACAGGAAACAGCAGAGTCGTTTAATCAAACTCAATGCAGCAGAAATAATTATGCTGGTGCCTCTATGGGGGAAGGTCGATTAAAAATAAATGTGCAAGTGTATGAACAGTATCTATGTGTGTATATAGTGATAAAGTAGAGTTCTTACATGCATATACGAGCATGCATATAGAAAATGTCTATATTTGCAATGCAAGCCTGATTCCAAGTGTGTATTCGTTAAAGCGTGCATTGTGTATTTTAGATATGTGTGCAAATCACGTGCAAATAAACCGTTTGCACATGATCTGCTCTATTAGATTGTTGTGTGTGATCTCTGATAGGCTGCTGTGTGGTCAGTTCAGGGGATCAGAGAGCTGCAGAGTGTGAACAGCATGAAGTGGGCGGGGGGGGGGGGGGCTTATGGGAATCTGTGTATTTTAGCTTTGGGGGGAAATAATCTGTGCCAGGAACCCAGATAAGATTTGGCAGGACGTTCGGTGTCAATGAGATCTGGGTGTTAATGGTGGAAGAGAGATTGAGCGCTTACATGCATCCATGTGATTGTGCTGCTACAGCTTTATACACAGGATCCTATTTCTGTCTGTTATGTGGCCTATATGCTTTGGCAGCACTGCATTTGTAGACAGGTGACAACTGAATCCAGCCACCAACCCATTTCGCCCAAACACACGTACACCTGCCTGCTTCCATCATAGATATAGAGTACGTGCAACTTAAATGAAGCATGAATCAGCCTTTTCTGTAGGCAATGTCAAGAGGCTCGTCACTTTCCCGTCTGAAAATGTGAAAGCGAGCGTTCTGCCGGCTGCCTCTTGTGGGAATATCAGCCAGAGTAAAATAGCACACATCTCTCTTCTTCTGGCACCCAAGCAAATGAAAACGCAGCAAAGTTCTTCTTGCCCCACTCTGGTGAATATGATGTGTTTGTACAGAGTTTTTTTTTTTTTTGTTCACTGTTGCTACAGTTTGTATTTGAATGCCTGCGTGTGCATTTAAGATCTATTCCTTGCTCCACTCAGTGAGGGGCCGTCGGAGACAAAGTGGCCGTGTTTCAGAGAAGAAGGCAGGTATCCAGGTATTAATCAGTCCTTAAGGGTGCAGAGAGGAAGGAACAGAACAGAATTGTCGCCCATTGCTGCCGTTGGAGGAGTCTTTGGATTTAAATCTTTGTAGAATAACAATAGAAATGTGTCATTAAATTGTCTTTGTTGAAGATTTTTAAACAGATAAAGTATATCAGGGTGTTATATCATTATATCATATCCATTATATAGCTTAAATCATGACAATCTTAACAGTTTCTCAAAGATATCTTGTGTGTAAATATATTCTGGAAGCACCAATAGTCAAAATATCATGGAAATGTCGGACATGTTTTGATATTTGATTTGTGATTATCTTAACTTACTGCAGACATTCTGAGTATGGGATTGCTCCGTTCTCTGGGATTTATGCTGTTGACATTTATTCTTAAAGGTTGAAATTGAGAACGGAGAGCGTTGGTTAAACATAACATATGCTAAAACACTTTGTTGTTTGTAAGGAAACAAACATTTTCCTATGAAGCCTCAATGATTCAAGTTATTTACAGTGTGATGTACTTTAACAGTGAGGAATACATTTTTCAAGATTTAGTTTTTTGTTTTTATTGAGGCATGACCAAACAAAAAAATGTACTTAATTGTGATGTGTCAGAGCCACTGATAGTAACTGCATGAATGAAAGACTGATATGAATAGGTGGTAATAATATCAATGTATGGCACCAAAATCTCTGGCAGCAGATGTGATGTAAGTTCAGTTACCACAATTCCAGTTACAATTTTTTGTTGCTGCAGATTATAGTGAGATGTGATCTGAAATGAGGTGAATTCCTGCCACTCCGTATATCACTGCTGCTTTCGTAGAAGAACTGTAGACTTGTGTGCTTATCAGTAAGCTATGATGACCTCATTTTAGGCTTAGTTAGCATATCCGTTGCAAAAATGTGATGTTAATGCCTGGACATTACAGTTGTATCTTTGACTAAAGCAATTTAAAAGGATTATTTTCCGTTGATATTTTCATTTGTTGTGATGCTGACAGCTCGTCAACATGTACCTAGCTCTAATTTCTTTACATTTTTCTTATAATTAGAGTAGAAAATGTATTTCAATTGCTCAAAATTAATGAATTAGATGATTTAAGATTAACGGGGAGAAAATGATGAGTCAATTTCTAACATATGGAGCAGTTCACATCAATCTTTCAACCACTGGAGACTTAAACACCTATATTGTTTTCAAGGCGTTCAGACACTGAATTTACCACGGTGTCAGCAAACTACTGAATTTTTACTATGGTGTCAGCAACTTATTCTGTAGTTGCAGTCCACTCCCTGCTTTCTGTCTATCTGGCTGTCACCTTCTCTTTTTATCATTCTTTTTCTTTTTCTTTTTCTTTCTCTCCCTCTCTGCGTCTCTCACTTTCCCCCATCAGGGCCAATACTCTGATCCATAAATAGGCCCGTTGGAGGTGATGGAGGGCCTCTGAGGGAGATGGAGCACTTCGGCTGATTCCCAGAGAAAGGTAATGACAGGCCCCGTCAATACCCGACGCTCCATTTACTTTCGGACCCCGTCTGCACTACTAACAAGACCTGAGGCTAATACTCAGGAGACCTAGACCGTGTCTGCTCAGGTAATTCAACTGATGTCGAGATGGATGGCCTGAGATGTACTGATTACGTGCCCAAACGTCTCTTCACCAGCTCCAGATCCGCAAGAAAACATGCAATCCACAAAGTAAATATTTACATTTGTGTATATTCCACATGTACAGTCGAGGATATCAGTGGCAAAACCCTTTTTTAAAAACAAATCTTTATGCATTGCACCAAAAATTCAAAGACACAAAATAATATTTAATCTGCCTCATCCTTTCCTCAAGCCCACGTAAAAAAGCATTCAGTTTTATTTTACTGGATCTTTGCACAAAATGACCATAACATATTGCTGAAGGTTCACTGAGTGTTGGCCTTCCTGATCAATTCCAGTCCCTCCTCTTTTAGCCGAGTGGCTGCTGAGCATTCTAGCTTTCTAAAAAGGCTGGCCTATGTGTTTGTGCTGGGAACGAAACAATGAATTAATCTCCCAGACCCCCTGAATTACCCACCGTTTGCTCTGCACAGGGTTTGTTTTTCTGAAACTCAAGTGGAGCAGCATTTGAAAGGTGGATTTAGCTTCAATAGTGGTGCCAAACAGGAAATGGTTATACTTAGGTATAGGCTTTACAATCTAAAGTTTAGATGATTTAAGTTGGAAATACTTAAGAAGTTAGGTTAAGGTTAGAAGGGATTGGGTTATGGTAATGACTTTCATTTGTAATTGTAGTTACACAGGGATCTATGAAAGACAACAATAGCCCCTTTCACATACAGATTCCGTGATATTGCCTTATAAAAGATCCGCCGTTTCACCGGCTTTGCCGTTTCACACGAAACCAAACAATGGTGGCATAATGCCACCCCAGAGTGTAAATTCAGATAGCACGCCACGGCATCAAAAGAGTTATGATGTTTTGTCTTGATGACAGCGGGGGAACAACTCTGTCCCCCCCCCATTCTTTCTCAGTATCTTTCATTCAGAACAGCAAGGCATATTAATGGCGAAACAGTCCTGCCTTAAACAGGGTGTGTGAAAGGGGCTTATGAGGAAGCTACGTGTACATGTTAGCCATTGTTTGCTGTTGATGTAATATAGCAAACATCCACTGCAAAGAACAACTTATACTGTAAATGTGCTAAATGTGCTGTCTTGCTTGTCTTCTTCTAGCCAATTCATGAGAGATTGTACAACAATGCATTAATTAAACATGAGTGTATAGCAATTCTGACCTCCTCAAACAAATCCAGGCTGTATGTGTTGTCGTCGTCTGCAAAGTAGACAATTCCAGCTTGGCTGCTGTTGGCGTTGAAGGTCTCCCTCAGCCACCGCAGGGCCAGATTCCTCTGCATCGTCCCCCTGGGGATTCTGGGGTCCCGAGTGTCACCCCGCAGCTTATAGTTCCTGGGCGTCTCTACATTGAGGTGGGTGTAGTTAAGTCCCATTTCTCGGAGGAGCCGCGTGACGAGAGGCGTTCTCCTTTGGGAGTCCTCCACCAGGATCCAGTGCAGGTTGGGAACATGGAGGAAGGTGTTTGCCAGCCGTGTCAGCTCCGCCTTCTGTACCGGTCGACTATATGTGGGGGTGATGATGTGGATGGTAGGCAGCACATCGGACCAGGGTGGAGGCCGCGTATACACATACTCTGTCCTCACCACCTCCACAATGTCCTTATCTGAGGCACAGTATTCCTTGGAGTCTTGTGCCTGGCCACCTGCCTCCCTCTTGCCCTCCACACCATCATCTGCAGATTTGTGGATAAGAAGACATGTAAGGCATTAGTGCAACCTTGGGCTGCCCTTTGTATATTTGCCTCAGGTGACTTAAACCCAATAGGGGTAAAGTGTACCTGAGAGCCGGTGGTGACGGACTGCAAGCCTCTCTGGAATGATAAAGATCTCTTTTACTAGATGGTGACAGGCTGCAAAAAGTGAAAGCAGGCACCGTGAGAGGATAACACAGCTGATGGACAGAGAGACAGGGGAAGGAAAGGGAGGGGAGAGATTCCCCCAGCGTTGCCTATGGGCTTTTCTTTCGAAAGGAAGAAAAATGTGGGTATGTGGATCCAGGAGACGTGCCCTCTTTTTATGTTCAGATTCCACCATGGACTCCCTCGTCCTCTGCCTGCCCCTCCATGTCCCTAACTTACTAAACACTATGCTACTTTCCTGAAATGTAGTTATGTAGTTATGCAGCTGAAAGTAATGTTCACATTCATTTAATTATAAATATATATTGCCCCAGAGATTCCTAAACATGACCTAAAATGCTATGATTAACTGTGGTGGGACTGAACACTCTGCTACCAAGATATGTTGGCTCATAAATGACTCCATGGAAAAGGGTTGAAATTGTTTATGCGATTATTTGGTTATTCTGCTCAATCCAAAACATACATGCTGGCATTGGCGGATATTTCCCTTGTATGCACACTTGTTATCTGGCGTCTGAAAATCCAGGTAACACCAAATGCAAATTAAACAGTAGAAATCTGGAATTGTTTTCCGTGAACTGCTTTTGTGGTCATGTTGAGCATTTGACACTACACAGAATTAATGTTCAAAGCTCCCAGCAGCTGCAGCACTACAGCAGTGAATGCTGTGCTACTAACACACTGCTTTCTTGTTTCTTTCTTCTGGAGTAAGGTGAATGTAATTGTGAATGTTTAAGTGAGAAAAATGTGACTACTAAAGCCCTGCATGTAAACAGTGCTGAATAAGTCCTCTGACACAAGCTGAATAGGCTGTGATACTTTGGCCCCAATAGTTTGGTCAAGATGGATAGAATATGATAATTGAGTCATTAAAGTTGTTCATTTCTTTTCAGTGTGCCACAGCTAATGGCGAGCTTCGTCACTGTTCAGCCTGAGCTCCTGTTGCAGCCTCCGACATATGGAGGGTTCTTCTGCGGCTCAAAGATTAACACAATCTGCTGATGGCCAGATGTTTGACAAAGGCTGCCAGCGAGCGAGCTGCCAAAAAACACCTCTAGCTTCTCTTTTAAGAGCACACAAAAGGAGGCCTGTGGGCAGACCTGTGTCAGATAGCACAGGCAATTTTTTTTCTATGTATACTTCATTGTACCTTCACTGTAATTCATTGTCAACACTGTTTTCATAACACCAATGAATTTTGGTGAGGAAGAAATGTGTTAGTACCCTAGTAGAACTTTTTTGGCATTCTTTTAATCTAATCAGACACTATTTTAGCTGTGTAGGTAAGCTGTAATAACAAATTATTTAATATTATTTGTAGCTTCTGTTGACTCCATTATGCTTTAGAACAATTACGTGTACTTGTTTTGGTTGTTAACCCCTCTGTGTGCGTTCATGACATTATAAGAAGAGGGCAAAGAGCTCTGTTGATTTGCTGTGGCTCTAATGGGTTTGTTTACTCTGCAGAATGCTTGACATTTTACACCGTTGGTTTGCGGTCTCTGGGGGATGATTGGGAGGCTCATGAGTGTGCGTCTTAATGACTCACACTGGCGTGCAAACGCGATATTACACGTGGATGGAAGATATTCCGTTGAAGCTAACGGAACGGAACGGATTTGTTATTTCAAATTGCTGATTAAACAAACTCTAAAATTAATTTGCGCTGAATTTGAATGTGAGTGAGTAAGTGAGTGAGGGAGTGAAATTGGGGAATAGTTTAAACCTAAATGGATAAATGAATTGTGGACATGCTGCTGTACAGTGCATGCTGTGTGAAGTTGAACGTCACACTAAGAGAAAGAATATAGATAAACGGGCCATGACGTGTAAGTGGATAGGCTGCGAAAGTTTCGTAACATACTGTAGTAGAAAAAAGTTATTGTCAACATAAAAGAAATGAAAGAAGACTAGACAAAGCTGAGACATTGATTCTATTCAATTAACAGACTGAATATACAACATAAAAAAGAACTCCTTGATGTATGAGAGCATATACAGTATGTGTCTGCAACTTCAAAGTCTTCATCATGCACCAAACAATCCCCACTGATGAGGTTTACAATGACTGGACGAGTGTCATTGAGCTCTGATGAAGCTGGTGGTCATTGTTAGTGAGTGCCTCTAAATAAACGGCCTGTTGTCTAAACCTGAAGTGCGTTGTTAGGTTCGAGGACCCACTTCACGTGTGATATTGCCAGTGGAGTGCAGTGCACTGCGTACCCTTGCGGATGGCGAGGAGTGGAGCTATAGCGCTTTGGTGCCAAACAGTGATGAGCAGCGTCCAGGGTAACACGATCAACACGATGGCAAGAATATCTCTTCTCTTCGGCATCTCCAGGATTGGTTATCTGGCTCGGCATTACCTGGAGAAAAAAAGATGGATGAATTATCATTCTGCATTTTGTAACACACGGGATCTCACGTAGAATCCCTTTGAACACCTAAACAGGGGATGGGGAGGCACTGGAAGACACCCATATTCATGAGGACCAAACGCATCATTGAAGGATATTGTGTCACAGTTTTACTCTGAGCTGTTAAAACAAAACAGAATATTATTCAGCAGCAGACACAGCTCCATTACAGCCTCACCAAAACACATTAAGAGTGAGATGATGGAGCAGGTGCTGTTCAGTAAAAGAATAAAACACTATCAAATAAAAAACATATCAACAAACAGCCAACAAAAGGAGGGTCGAATCTACCAGAGGAGACCATGGAGCAGGAGCTTGTGCCCTCTGCCAATCCGACGAGCTCATTGGTGCTATCAGTGAGGACGAGGCAGTCACTTCATGCCCAGTGCTGTAACTAGTCACAGGCCAAATGGCAGGAAACGATGTCACCAGACTGTGCCTTGACTGTTTGGGATATTGTGCCCTTCCCTCTGAGTCCAGATTGCTTGGTTCAACTTTGTATCCCTTTGAAAAATCTAATTCCAGCATGACAGACATTGACTGTAAATTAATTGAAATGGCATCTACAAATTAACCTTGAAAATTTCATTTATAAATGATTTGTCACAATTGGATTAACACAATGGTAGCAAGTCTCTCTACGTAACTAAAACACTTCCATTAAAAAGGTTCAATGCATTGTGCTTTTTTAAGGTTTAACAAACATATTAATATCAACTTCCACTCCTCTTCTCTTAATGGTTTAGAGCTCATTTTAAAGGTAAAGGTGCTATTTGTGATTTAAATGTAAGCAAAGGGTCAACGGTAGTCCCGGTTTGTGCCTCTCCTCTGTTCGCATACATTTGGGCAACAGAGGTTACCAGAAACACTGGGATTTTAAATGACATTCTGAGTTTTTCCAAACATCTTCAGTTAATTATCTTTTGTGGAAACCAATGGTTAGTTCTATTGCCTGAATGCATGCGGATACATGACAGGCACAAACTAAGGGATAGGTCATAGGTTGCCCTATAACCAAAATTAGGGGAGGGTTGGAGCCAGCTAGCATTCTCAAATGTAGTGACAGGCCTTTCTATGCGTTTCACTCTATTCATTAATGTTTTTATACTGTCTCCATGACGGCACCCTCCACCACCAGGTCAGGAGATATTATAACAAGTCTTTGGTATAACTAAATCTGAGTTTTCCAATGTTTTATTTATATATGTGACGTAAATACAGTAATACAGTATATACATCACTAAGACATGGCTATGCTGCGCCCTGCCTTAGTTACTTTCCCAACTGAAACAGATAATATAACCTGTAGCCATCTAATAAGCTAATTAAGCTAGTAACATTAGCACCACGATTTGATTGAAAACAATGTCTCAGGCTGGCATCTCAACATTTCCAGCTGACTCATTTGACAATGAGAAGCTTCTAAAAGGGGTAAAAGGGCGGAGTCATATTTTAAGTATGATGAGGAGTGTAAACCAAACACTGTACCATAATGAGCAGAAACAGCTGCTGTCATTATCTCAAACTCTGATAGCATCCAGGAACGGGCAAATAAATGGAAGCTCTAACCAGAAACGGGGCTTTTTTAACTTACAAACGATGCCTGGTTATAGTTGCAAAGGTATGATTGGACAACTTCAGGCAGTTCTAAAATGTATGATTGAATAAAAAATGTAGGATCTGGCCTTTCAAGACCTGGAATAAAAGAGGCCTAGCACTTAAACACACGTCTTACTCTGTTAACATTTTAAGCGCAAATTGCATCTTTTAGGAATGAGACCAATTCTTTTGATTTACCTCCAGCTTTATTGTTATGCAATAATTTAAAATGACTAATGAACGTTACTGAGCATATAGACGCTGATTCTACATTTAAAGCACACAATGACATGAACATACACCATTAAAGGTAATACCACACAAACTTTGAAAATGAGAATCACTCTGACAAAGTCTCAACGAAAATGATTGCATCATTATATGTCAGACATACTTATTATTGTGTCCACTACCTGTGCTGTGGGGCCAACTACATTGCCACTTTGGTAGCTCATTTACACTAAATTTAAGGATGACAGACCTCCCCGTCTCTCCCAGGGACTGTCTCTCCTCCTCCTTAATAGGCTGCTGGCATTACGCCGAGTCCTAACTGGACTAAATGCAGTTATTAACTGGTCTGCTCAATTACACAAAGGAGAAAAACAGACATAATGTGAGCACAGGTGTTTGGCATATTAATTACAGCTTTACACATGAGGAAGCAAGTCACCACATTTCCCACAGTGATCATTTTCCCACTGCTGGGGAAGATGGCAGGCAGTATATTGAGGATTAACATAATCGTATATGCCAATTTTGTTCATTGAGCTCTGTAAATAAATCCACCATAATGTCCAAGTAATCAGATGTGTGAATAGTTCTGACACAACACGCACCTATACGTGTTTTTTTACTGATAAAAAAATTGGTTCTGCTGCATTTTTTCGACTTTACTGGAGAGGTGATTGTGAATTCCCCAGTGGAAATTGATACTGCGCGTGGTTCTGCACAGTACAAAGTATAAAGTACAGTAAGTCGTACAGAAAATGACGCACAGTAAGTGCATCAGCATGCAGCCACCTTTTTCGAAGGGCAACATGGGGCAACAGATGCTTTTGAAATGAATTCCTAGACCTTGTGAATATTCCCTTGGTCCTTGGTATTGGAAAGTGTCTCTGTTAGCATTATGGTGGCTGAAAAAGTATACATAGCTTTCGTTAATGGGAGAAACCTACAATGTCCTCACTTTTGATCTAATTAACTCTTGGCCCAGGTCATTTTTAATCCCGAAAACAACAGAATGGGGATTGATTCTGGAAATACAGACTGGCTTCACTGCATCTCCTAATTTCCCATGAGGCAGTTGGATAGCATCTTTTATTAGACCGTGTTTGGTAAATGCCCACATCTTTCAAACTCCACAGTTTGTAACGTAGGCTAGTTTCCAATAGCTCTCAAAAGCCGAGAATGCTCTAATGACATCACTATGACATCATCAGGCTGATTTTCTCAGACTTGACAAAGCCCCTCCTGAGTCGCTCAGCAGTACTCTCCTCGTGACCAGTGAACTGACCTTGAAGAGTGAAATCAGGGTAATGCCCCTTTAAATCACATTGCTTGCATATAATTAATACATCCATATGAAGGAAAAAAAGCCTTTGGATGCTCACCCACAGTTATAACTGGATCATGGCACCACAGGGGATGCGCAGCTGGGAAGGCCACACTGCATACTGGACGAGCTACGCAGTGGTGACGTCCTCCATGGCACCTCAGCCGACCATTTCCTCTTCCTCTGCCGCAGACGGGCAACACTGTGTCCAGACCTGTAGAGGAAGAACAGTTCAGTGAATATGATTCAGTGATGACAGATTGCGAGTGTTTGTCTCTTTGTATTCTGACAGTGTGGACCTTCATGTGCCCCCCCTTCTCTCACTCACACCAGCATGAGACATTCAAGGATAGTCAGCCAGGTTTAAACATAGCCACTTGGACAGGCTTTGAACAGTCAATGCCTTACAGCAATTCTTGGCTGTAGACACCTTTGTGAGTGGTGTGGCTGTTGGACGTCTATTCATTATTTAACATCAAAGAGCTGAAAATGCGGCTGCGGAAAAGTGTGTCAGTAATGAACTCTAATTTGGATGCACATCATTCAGATTCACAGCAGGATTCGCTCCTCCAGCGCTATACGACTGCTGTGCTTTACAATGCTGCATTTCTGCTCATGTGTGAAATGGTTAATACCGTGCATGTATTGATAATTTTACCTCATTGACTCCAATCGGAACTGAACAGACACAGAGTCTGTATTTTTCTTTTTTTTCATGCCTAATGTGGAAAATGGAAGAGGGTTAGTCACAACTCCATTGCTTGCCAACAGTCTAGGGTGGGGGATGTTACAAAAATAAACTGGCATCATGTCTTATTCAAATACATCTGAGGGAACGCTGCTTCTATGGAGGCTTATGCCTCACTCAGCCAGTGATGTCTGCACGCTGCATCAGCTGCAGAACTGAATGGCTGAGGACTATATTTTTTAAGGGGCTTTGTAATAGAGAATCATACAAACTGCAAATATGTAGTTTTGGGGGAATGAACACCAGGACTCCCAGAATCCTTTTACTGAGCCAAATTGCCTGTGATCCAGCAATGCAGTTGGGGGTGTGTGTCCTTGATGGGTACTAAATTTCAAACAATCTATTTTCAGATTGCCCCGACACATTGTCCAATTACTCAAACTGAAGTATCATGCTTCTGAGGGTTGATGCCAAGTTGTGTGGAAAAGGGAATGAAAGATGAATACGAGGAACGGTCTTCATGGGTTAGCGCAGCTTCTGCAGTAGGCTATCTGCTTTTTATGAAAGCGACAAGCAAGCACTGTAGTGCCAATAACTAAACAACAGTGATAGAAAGGCTTTACAGTTGCTGCCAGGTACTGTCATGCATGCAAAGTAGCAATGACAGTGTTGTCGCTCTGATTTCTGTACAACAAGCGCCTCTATATATTGTGATGGAGCTAAACAGAGGGAAACGCTGTATAGTTCAATCACCTGCCAAAATCTCAGACCCTCCAACAGGCCGCTGCAGCATCTTAGTGTTTAACATTTCTAAAAGAAAATGTTTGGAAAACAAACAAGCGTGGCAAGGGCTGCCAGCCGGAGGGAGCTGAAATTCATATTGCTGTTATGTGCAGAATATACAGAGCTATAAATGCTTTTTGGGGATATGATGAAAGCATTTATTAAAAGTCTTTGTTCCTTCTTTGGCTTTTACACATTTTAGTTGGGTTGGGCCATGGAAGATTAACTTCTCTTTTAAAGGAAGATTTAACTTAATTAATACAATTTGAATAGGTTCAATACTTTGGTTTATAACCAAACACCCGCCAAATCTATGACATCACCATCAGTCTCAGTGGTTCTTTGGGCTATTTATCAAATACTATAGCATGCTAACACGTTAAATTGAGATGATGAACGTGGTAAACACTATACCTGCTAAACATCAGCATGTTGGCATTGGGAGCATGTTAGCATGCTGACGTTATTTAGCGCAAGCGATGTTGTTCCCAAGCAGCCAGCCCATCAGAGCTGCTAGCAATAGACTCTAGTCAGAACTGACTGTAGAGCACATCGTTGTCAGTTGAAGTGGATGACAGATATACACACGTATACAAAAACCAATAGCGCAGCTTACATTTCTCACTGTTTTATGTGCTGATCAATTTTAGTCTAATCTGCGGATTAGACTTAAATGGCAGACAATGAAGCTCAACAGCCTTTCACATCAGCAGAAGTTAACCAGCTGTGAAGGGAACACCTGCCGCTGATTAATAAAGACTCACAGCAACGATGTCATGTGTGAAAATTGTTGTTCTGATTGTTGAACTAACATCATTTCCCCCAAAAGGTGAAGCGGGAGGGGTGAAATAATATGTTTCTCTATTGGGTTTGAGTGTGGCAGAGAAATAGGTACTGTGTGCGAGATAAAACAGTACACCTCAAGAGTGATCAGACAGTAAATTATAATGTTCCCACTGGTTTTAGGACCTTGTGTTGGACAACACTCAGCAGACTGTATCTTTCTATGATCATTAACTTTATCATTATGATTTTATGGTTATAAAGGAGCTGAGAAGCAATTCCCATATTGTATACACAAAGCTTATATGGTTTTATTTCCTCAGATCTCTAAACAGTCTTAACTCCCAGTCGTTTTTTTTTAAAGAAATTGGAAAATCCTCCCTCTTACTTAAAAAATAAATTCTAACTTCTTAAAAATATAATTTTAGACCTAAGTGCATCAGCTTTAAAACAATAAAAACACACTGTACTGTAAATGTAACACCTCCAAGTTATTCCATGAGGACACAGAGTGCCTCATTAAACCTTCCTGTTTGTGTTGGAAAGTATCATTTGTTTTTTTAATGATAAATCTTCAGATGATTTAGAAGGCAGTAATTGGAACGAAAAAGGCCCCAAGTGATTTTTTGTCTGGCAAGAAGACAAATCTATTCCTTTTCATATACCATAAAGATGTTTTTGCTTCTTCTTTATTATTATGTTGGCAATGCCACTTACAAAAGGTTTTGTTTCACTAACTAAATTCACTTTTGTGGAAATGGAATTTGTTTTGACCAAAGTCACCTAAGCCACGCAATGAGCACTGAGCAAACTCAATCTGCTAATGAAGACCACAAGAAGTGGTTGAAAGTATGGGAAAAATAAGGAAGTAAGTACACATTGAGTCAAGACTTCCAAGCTAAAGAAAAAAACTTTCACGCTCAACTTGTCGAATTGTAGCCAAATACTAAGTGGATTCTTCTAATTGGGCAAATTTAAATGACTGTCGGTTTAATCCCAGGCTATTTTCAGTATTTCAGTATCCAGAGAAATAAGTTTATATGTGAGATGAAATTAACATTAAATTCAATAATGGCAAACATATATTTATATTACATTTTAACATATAAGGTTAAAATGTGTTGACATGCATAACCATTGTTTGGGCTGTAAAAATACGTTAATAGGCACTGAACTAATTCATTACTCGAACCCTGACATTGACAAGTATATGAGAGACATCAGCACTGGCAGGCTCACACATTCCTCCTCTTCCCTCTCTTCCTCAGATTTGTAAAGTTGAGTCAAAGATGAAGCAAGGGCATGTTTCCAAGTTTGTTATCGAGTCTCGCTCTGACTTCTGAGCTCCCTTGGACCATCTCCTATTTCCAGAGGACCCAATAATAACATAATCCTTTTCTTGCTTGCTTTGTGGCATCATTTTTGATGTACTCTCCAGTCGACAGGGAAGAGAGCCTCTCTGGAGATGGAGTGTCCTGGTACGTCCAATCTTTCGCTTTCGTTTATGAATTCATTGTTCTTCGACCAACTTGGTAAAGCCCAGAACAGTTTTCAAGGATATCTGGGGAAAGTTGGAAGATATGTCATTGGAGTGGATCATTATTGATGTAACTGTCACAGCCCCCCAAAAAGCTTCGCCTAGAGGTGTCATTAAAAGTGAATTTTGAATCTGGGCATTGATTCACACAGGCATAATTGCTTTTGAAGTACAGTAAGCCAGGAGCAGGTGATCACAGGCTCTCTCCGACGTTAAGCTTCTCTCATAGTCCTGGTTTTTGATTTCAAGGCCCAGAATCGTCGTAACATTATCACAAAGTTTAATAAATGTACAGACGTTTGGCTTCGTTTCTCTGGTCAAAATGGATGTAAACTGACAGCTTACGATGTTACACATTTAAATAATTCATGGGTAGGAACAATGCAAGGAACTATAAGTGGCACAAAAACAGGCCTTTATTTGCACATTCTGCATCCGCATGCATTCGAAATAGGACGTAACAGATATTTTTTTCAGGTATAAGCAAACTCTTTGACATTATGTCAAAATTTTAGAGGCTGGTCGAAAACGATTTTGTGTTAAAGACTGGGGTTCACTGAGGCAGTTTGACTGTCTTTTTCTCACAAACTAATTAAACTCATTTGTGGGTAGAGGGGGAACTGATGTTCAATGTTATTCTGAAATCTTGAGCTAAAAATGTGAACAAGAGTTTAAAGTTCTTGTTCATGTGAGAAAAACAACGGCTTGTCTTGGAGGAGGCATTTCCTCCGTTGAATTTGATATTCTCTGTCAGCCATGCTTCTGCTTGCTATGCTACTGTTCATATTCTAGGTTAGGGTTCAGTGAAAGGTCGCCGTAATGCTAGTTTTGTGTTACTTGTCCCATCAATCCAATCCACACCTGCCGTGGAACGAGTCTCTTCAAAATTTGATCCTCTCCTTATGAATCCTGCTTTGAGCAAAGCTAATAATAGCAAAGCCCAGAAGGCAGCTCCTGTAGGAATACGGTGGTTGGCTGTTATTAGAAGAGCAGCTATGTTGTTTACGATCATGTCATATTCTCAAGTTCAACTGAAATCATGCTAACTGGAGTTCTAGCATACTAGTTTAAATGGTAATCGTTTATGCAGTAATTAGTAATCCAATACACAACATGTCATGCTTTCATCTGCCAGATTATCATTATTTCCAGACCAATCACTGTAAATGCTGTTTGATAAAAGAAATTTGCCAGAGAATGTGGCAGTAAGTGCTGTTTCGCACACTTGATTTAGATGATGAGGATGGCTGTTTCATTTTCAGGAAAACTTGAATAACCCATTAGCTGTGAGCATTGGCCCTGATTTATGGCTCCAGTCCACGCCTGGATCAGGCTGCCTCAGCAATGATGGACGATTTAAGAGCACCAACCTTCGGGCAGGTCTCTGCTGATAACCATGGGGGATAGCCCAGCGCATCCTGCC